CACATAATATTTGAATAAATATTATGGATATAAATGAAATTAAATAAGATTTTATGATTTAATACAAAACCCAGATCCACCCCTTTATTTACTTGGTGAGCGATAGAGTTCAAAGGTTATGACATTAGGGTTCTGTAATTTTATTGGTTTTAAGTTTTGGTGGTTCTGAGTTGTTCTCAGATGGACTACTCAGAGAATTTGGTCAGGATAGTTGTGGTTTTTGTAACAAGAGAATTTTTAGACAAAGACAAAGACTTTGAGACCTTTAAGACCAGACCTGACAGTAAGTATAAAGTTTAACATTCTATATCTTTATAATATGTCTATTTAGCTAATATCACTGTTTGAAAGAAGAGTGAAAGTTTAAATATGAATAAAACTAAATTTAAAGCATTTTACCTCAGAGTATAAATTTATTTGAATTATGAGTATTATAGTATGTATAGTATAGTGTACAGTATTTGTTATTAGATATGTAGACCTGTATGACGCATCCAGGCTATTTACTATGTTTTATGGAATGGGCCTTGTCCCATAGAGAGGTAATTTGAATATATGTTACCTTTTGTATATTTTAAGTTATAATTACATATTGTTACATTTCTTGAAATGTGGCAGTAAATTATTTGTGTAAAGAATATTTGTACAGTGATTTAAGTATATGCTAAATATTCAAAGTAAAGGAAGATAACTCTTAACTGTTAAATCTATTTATTGTACATCAATAAAAATAAGTAATATATATTGTATACATTTGTTATCTCATGTGATATTCATTGTTATTATTTTATTTTATAGGGCCATTTTGTTTATATAAATACTTTCCATGAACATCAGTAATAAACATAATGATGAACCCTTAGCCAGGAGTTGAGCTATTTACATTTAGTATAAACCACCCCTGCAACAAACATATTTTCAAATATCAAGATTATAACCTTGAATTTGTACAACTTTGTAGATATCTTGGTATATACTTAATGTGTCAGCCATCTTCTCCTTTGCTCAAACTCTAAAACATGCCTAAATGTATTTGATTACACAATAAAACATGCATCTTCTGCTATATTTATTCGAAAATTAGGGATCGTTCAATTGCAAATCTCGTAAATTCATAAGAGATATAATGTTTACTAGTATTTGGATCAGATTAGATATACTCTAATGCCGTACATTAAAAGCTTCATACAAAGGCTTAAAGGTGCTTGGACACAGATGTGAAGTTAATATTTTCTCAAATTTCCGGTATAATATCATGACTTATATGTTTTTATAGCATTTCACATAGAAATAAAATAAAAAACTTATTTTATCTGGAAACTACTATTTTTGTAAACAGGGCACGAGTCATGTTATTGTTAATGTTTACGTTTCACCGGGTGTGTTCAATTTGTTAAACTCAGCACACATCACTGAGCACGGACTGACAATACTGGTGAGTTGGTTTTGCTTTCTTACATTTCTACTCTGAATTTTCTGGATTAAAGTTTGAATATATTTCATTAATACACAACAAAAAATTTACTTTTCTTAAGTATTAAGGATAAAGTTCGCTTTATGAAAGTGCTAGGATGTATCAATCAAACGCGTCCCGAAATTTGTAGTTTCAATAATTTCCAGATAAAATAATTTTTTTTTATTTACATTTGAAATGCTATAGCAACATATAAGTCATGATATTATACCGAAAACTTGAGAAAATATTAACTTTAAATCTGTGTCCAAGCACTTTAAACTTGTTAGTTTCTTCTTGGTCATCGTCGGAAACCCACGGTCGGTCTCACTTCTCTTGAGGTAAGAGAAGCGAGACCGACCGTGGGTTTCCGACGATGCTTCTTGGCGTGCACATAAAATCAGGAAATTTTGCTATATTTGAAAGCTTAATACATTCCAAATACACTTTGACATAGTGAAATGCATTTTTTAATGCATTTATTAGTTACCGGCAAAGACTAAAATATTTGGAAGAATATCAGAGTGAATTAGCAGATCTATTTTGTATTCATATGAAGCAGAATTTATTCAAAAAGTTCTACATGAAAAGAAGTTCGCTTCCTGTGTCCTTTAACATTCAGATATATCATCAATGAACAATTTTCATTTTCATTCCTACATTTATTCGAAATATCCCTTTGAACTAGAATTGAAAGGTACCATAGAGTCTGGCACATCTGTTTAATATTTGGATATTCTACTAGAAAAAGACGTTAATGGTAACCTAACAACAAAAGTTTATGATAAAAGTGATGACCAACTTTTCCGTTGTCAACTTCACATATTTATGTTGCAATATACCCTTGTCACCTGCATAGGGAATTTATGTCTCTCAATTGATTCAATACGCACGAGCATGCTCTACGTACGATTCGTAGACTTTTGTCTTAACATTTTTATTTAACGGCATATTGTAACAAACTTTAACCTTAAATCCAAGTAATTTGAATAAGAAAATTCAACTTTATCATGCTATATATATATCAAAATTATCTAAAATTAAAGACTAAGAAAATGGGATCGCGGAGCACGATCAAAATTGAGTAATTCTCTAGCAATACACTTAATGATGTTTATAGTTATATCTCTAAAAATGGCGCTAAACAAAATAAAAATTCAACGCTCAAATTTAGTTTTGTTATATAATTTCAAATGCCAAATTGTAATGGAATACACTGCTTCGTTATTTAAAGACAAAGCAATTTCAGAAGACAGATAGCCATCTTTGATAAAAGGAAAACAATGTGACTTTGAAGGAGCAGTGAGAAACTCTGAAAATGCTGGAGGAACCAGGGAATATATCATATATGGGTTGTGCTTTTGTACATGTAAATAAAGACAGTGTTTGATTGGTAGCCACTTAAATCAGACAATGGACGGTCTGTGAGGAAACGGATTATCATTAATCATTAAAAAAAAAACCTAGTCAGTACTAATACTTGATAGCACTGATACATCCTGTCACCCGCGTGGCGCAGTGGTAGAGCGTCTGCTCTAGAGTCGCAGAGTAAGGAGTTAATCCTTACGTCTATGGTTCGAATCCCACTAGGGGACGTGGAGACAGGTGCTTCGGATGAGACCGTATAAACCGAGGTCCCATGTCGCAGTAGATACTCGCACGAAAAAGATCCCTCACTGCTCAATGGCCCTGAGTGCCGAGTATAGGTCAAAATTTGCAGCACTCCACCGGCAAGTGGTGGCGTCTCCATATGTGTGAAAAATTCTCGAGAGGGAAGTTAAACAACAAACAAACAAACAAAAACCAATAATACACCCCCTGTGTCCAAAGGTCAACTGCAATGATTTACAAAAAGGAGATGGGCGAACAAGGCGTGCAGAATGCCTATAGCTTTAGATATATGAAAATCATAGTCAATTTGTAAATTAAGCATCAGAAAGAGTAAAGTTCCCATTATTGATATTAATGAAATTGTGACAAACAACACTTTTCTGAGGAAAAAATAATATTAAAACAAATAATGTGGTATTCATGGGGTTCTAACCCTAGCAATAAAAAATCCTGGTTATCATTTTCCTTTGAGACAAGAGCTCTTCTTTTTTTATCATCAACTAACACTCTAACCAGTACGCTACACAACTCCTGATGAATAGTGGCATTTAAATCATGTTTGTTGTATTACTCTTGACTGAATGGACCACGTATTTCTCGGGAAGATACATATGTTGTGTCATAAAAGTGCATTTTTAAAGTATGGTGGTTCTTTGCTCCATGTTTTTTTTAAACCAAAAATTGTATATTTTTTATCTCAAGCTCTGTGGGATATATCGTGTCGACATAAGAATGGAAATAGCCATTGTTAATTGACAATACGTCGTCGATATTTCTAAATGTCGAGTTGAAGGCCACAACAAGTGTTTTCTTCTTTTCACGTAAAAGATTTTGAACAAATTCTGCTTCATATGAATACAAAACCAGGTCTGCTAATAACGGGGCGCAATTGGTACCCATGGGAATTCCAATAGATTGTTGGAAGACCTGGTCTCCAAAAACCACATAGATATTGTCAATCAGAAACTCTAGCCTCTTTTTAACAGAGTACTTGTGTGTACAATCAGATTGTTTTTTATCAAAGTAATTTTGCAAATGACCAATGACAAGGTAAGTAAATTTACGAGTTCCATTTTTATTGAAAAAGCAGCTGTCAACGATGTCAGAAAGTCTGGACTTTAATTTATCGTGGGATATAGCTGTATATAAATTTGAAAAGTCGTGAGTTTTTTATGTTGTTGATTTTGGTAAACTTTTAATACAATGGAGTGAAGACTCACTCATTTGGAAAAGAAAAATGTGTTATGAGAAAAATCCTTTTTGCTTTGGTGTGTGTATGCTATTTCAGAGGCACATATTTTCAATCTTTGTGAGGTTTTTACAAACTATGTAGATTTTACATAAAGTACACTTTAATGTTAGATGAAATATCAAAGAAAACTTTGTTTATAATTGAGATTTAATATATCATATCTGTCGCTCTATAGGCATTTCGCTCGCTTTCTTCATCCATCTTCTTAGTATATTTTCATAATTTGATGACTAGGGCATTGTGTTGGGAGGTTAAAAATTTATAAAACAGTACGAAGAATTTACCTCTCTACTTCGTAAGATTTCTGTGCTGCATGATGACACTTTTTAAATACGCCAATTCCCGTATTCTTCTTCCCTATACAGTATCTATGCATATATTGATCTGTTTAATTTAAATAGGGCCCTTTTTGTGGCAAATTCTCTCTGGCTTAATGGTTCTTGAGGAGAAAAAAAATCTAAAACGACCAACCTATTTCTATTTTTTCTTGATTATCTCCTTTAGAGTAGATCTTCTTTTCTCACTATCTAAAGATTCTTTGTTTGCAGGTTTGATTGAAAATAGCTTATTGAATCTGGAGAAGACATGAAAAATGTGAAACTTTCAAGACCGAAAGTCGAAAAGGGAGAGCAAAAGTCTTCTTTGTGACTAGGTGCCCTGATAAGTTTAACTATTTTTTATTACCTTTTTTAAACACTCTTGTGAACAAAATCCACTAGATAGGAACTCCTTTTCGAATGGAGGAATTATCTGCATATCATTGACTTTCATTCCTGCTGTCAGAATACCAGCATCATGTCTCCTGAGTGTCGGGGTCAAGGTCAGACGAAATCCAGAGTTATCCACAAAATCTGACGAAAAATAATTGTTTTTTATAAACTTTCATTTTTAGTATGCATCTTCTAGAAATTTTTATCGTCTAATGATCATGATTGACCCCACAGTCAATGACAAGCTAATACATGTAACAGGATCGATTGAAAAATAGTTGAAATAATTTGCTGTCAAACTTAATGTGGAATTTGCAGGGGAAAAATATATATTTATGTTTTAAGAGACGTTGTTTTGCATTATTAATGACCAAGTAAAGAATTACCTAAAACCTGGTTGCGCGCGTGGCGCAGTGGTTAGAAGCGTCTGCTCTAGAGTCGCGTAGTAAGGGGTTGATCCCTACGTCACGGGTTCGAATCCCACCGTGGGACATGGAGACCGGTCCTTCGGATGAGACCGTATAAACCGAGGTCCCGTGTCACAGTAGGTGCTGGCACGAAAAAGAGCCATCACTTCTCGATGGCCCTAAGTGCCGAGTATAGGTAAAAAATTTGCAATTCTCCACCGGCAAGTGGTGGCGTCTCCATATGAGTGAAAAATTCTCGAGAGGGACGTTAAACAACAAACAAAAAACCTATGACCTGCAGACAAACACTGTACTGGTCACTAGAAAACACTTAAAAGAGGGCACAGAAGACGTACCATTTCTCCTGTCAGGATTGTTAAAATGAGTCTCCATGATATAAAGGTCATTGTCTCCTGGTTCTCCGATAGGTAGACCCGCTTCCTCGGGATAATAAAACTCCTGAAATATACCGAATTTTACTTTACTGGAAAATATATACTTTTTGACACACAATACAAAGCATTGTTACTTCTTTCCTCTTTAAAAAAGTTTCTTAATATTACGGTTTCATTAATTTCGTTGGGATAGAATTTCGTTGTTTTGGCAAAGATAAAAATGTACATTCGTGACCAGCTTCTTCTTCCTATTCTATCATAAGTAAAATTGGTGATTCGTTTATAATCTAAATTCATTGTTTTGAATAACCACAAAAAACAACAAAAATTGGTGTTAAACGAAAAACAATAATAAAACCATAACATAATTATTTCTCATAGAAATATATTCTTTTTGTAAGACAGACTGACCTTTCCTCCAACTGCCCAAGCCAGAATGACTTTGCCGCAGGGTTTGAGTTGGTGGTTGTGATTAGAATAACAATTAAATCTAACGCCAACATATTTTCTGTCTATTCCAGAACACTTGTGAAGAAGAATGTGGTGAACCAATCCTTCATTGCCTTTTTGTATAATTGGTTCATACTGCAAAGTATCGAAATTTTCAACTGGTGAATTGTGTCGAACAAATTAATAATTAATTAATTTGATTGGCTATAATTCTTACAACTTCAGAAAACAATAAATGTCCTTACCTAAAAGCAAGCCTAAACTGACAAAGCACCAGAGGCACTCCAGTTAAGGTAAGAATTTAATTGACAGAAATATTTTACATTGACAGAGATCAAAAACTAATGTGTTTTTTGTATACTGACTACAGTGGCTTTAAGACGCAGTTTTCGTTTTGCATGTAACTAAACATAGTCTTGAAAACAATTTTCCTCTTCCACTTAAAATAACTTTGAAAAATTATTAATCCCCCCTTGTTTTTAGAAATATGGCTAAACAAACTGCAATAAATAAAATAAACAATATGTATAAGCTTTGACATTAGAATAAATAAGCAATGAGAGTACATAATATGTATTAATTCATTCAATAAACCTTGAGTAAGTCAAATGTTGGGAGAGTGGCTTTGTGTACTTCAGTTGAACGTGAAACACAGAACCTGTCAACAATTAAAATAAATCCTCTTTAAGATCTTGACTGGCTAAATTTCTCAGAAAATAAGTTTTATAGATGTAGTATACTGCTGTTTGACCCCCCCCCCTTTTTTCATCCCATTCCTAATTGACGACCCTTCAAAAATGGTTTCTGCAAGTGATGTGTTGATATTTTCTGCGGCCAATCTTGATTTCCCAACATGACTATTAATACCTTCGCAATGCGAGTTTTGTGCATGCTCAAAACTGTTGCACGTGTATCTCTTCCATGACCTACCACACGCAATGACGATCTCAGTTATTTTTTTTTAATAAGCTCTCTTTATCTTTTTTAATGCAATACCATGTAAATGCTTGAGCATGTACGATATGAACTCTTAACTGATAGATTCAAATTAAACGGAGTAAAGGAAATGCTTGAATTATACTGAAGTCGGGATGTTACAAACTTTTTTGTGATAATTAAGTTAAGAAATAAAGTTACGTCAAACATTTTAAGTACGATCACCATCATTGGATCTGCCAGAATTGTAGTAAAGAGTGTATTATTTAAAAAATCAGTTCATAGTCGTGTGAATCTACCAAACTAGGCGAAAAGCACATACGATATCTCGGGGAAGGGTCAATTATTGACAATTAAACGTTAAAATCTAAGTCTCCTTTCTGAAACAAAAGCGAACTCATTCTTTGACCGCGTATATTTTTCGTTGGAAACAATGTGATATTCATACGCCAGTCGTATTTGAGTAAAAAGAGTGACATCTCTGCTTAGAAGATGTTGTGGTTGCGGTGCATCACTATTCTTCGTCAAAAATATAATCTGACAGTTTATACGAGTAAAATAGTTGATTATACACACAATTTCAAGATAGACTGTATTTTATATTCTACATTCTACAAATTTTATTATTTACCCATGGCCAATGAATATGGTTTGGTGTTTTTAAAATAAGTAAATCGAGACCATCAATGTTTTAGATGAAAATAAGAAAACTTTGATAATTAACAAATATGAAAATCCATTACCTTTATCATGTGATGTTTCTTTCCAAAGTCAGAAAGGTCAAATACTGTACACATATAATAAGTGTCAACATCTGGTACGAGAAACTGGAAAAAGTTTTACAGTAAAAGGAAAATAATATTAGAGAAGATAAAAAAAGATTCGTGGATAAAAATTAGACGGAACATGAATAGTTTATCAATGAGAATGATTGTGACTGTTTGGACAAAAACATTGACACCAGAAAATTTTAAGGAAAAATGATGATTGATACTGTAGTGACAAAACGCTGCAAATAGACTGTTGGTTGTAATGATGAAATTGGGAAAAATCAGATGACTGTCGGATGACTGGCACTCACTGCAGTGATAAACTTGGGGTTAAAATATGATTAGTAATGCAGTGAAAAAACACTGCATAAAGGGCATATAATGATTAATACTGTAATGATGAAACGTGGAAAAATTGTTAATGATAAAACAGTACAAAAAGAGATGATTGATGCTGTAGTAATAAAACATTTGAAAAAGATTATTGGTATTGTGATAAAACATTGAGATCGACAGGTGATTGGTTCTGTAGTGATATAACATTAGGATCGACAGATGATTGGTACTGTAGTGATATAACATTAGGATCGACAGATGATTGGTACTTTAGTGATATAACATTAGGATCGACAGATGATTGGTACTGTAGTGATATAACATTAGGATCGACAGATGATTGGTACTGTAGTGATATAACATTAGGATCGACAGGTGATTGGTTCTGTAGTGATATAACATTAGGATCGACAGTTGATTGGTTCTGTAGTGATATAACATTAGGATCGACAGATGATTGGTACTGTAGTGATATAACATTAGGATCGACAGGTGATTGGTTCTGTAGTGATATAACATTAGGATCGACAGATGATTGGTACTGTAGTGATATAACATTAGGATCGACAGATGATTGGTACTGTAGTGATATAACATTAGGATCGACAGATGATTGGTACTGTAGTGATAAAACATTGAGATCGACAGGTGATTGGTACTGTAGTGATATAACATTAGGATCTACAGATGATTGGTACTGTAGTGATATAACATTGGGAGCGACAGATGACTGATACTGTAGTGATATAACATTGGGATCGACAGATGATTGGTACTGTAGTGATATAACATTGGGATTGACAGGTGATTGGTTCTGTAGTGATATAACATTGGGATCGACAGGTGATCGGTTCTGTAGTGATATAACATTGGGAGCGACAGATGATTGGTACTGTAGTGATATAACATTGGGATCGACAGATGACTGGTACTGTAGTGATATAACATTGGGAGCGACAGATGATTGGTACTGTAGTGATATAACATTGGGAGCGACAGATGACTGGTACTGTAGTGATATAACATTGGTAGCGACAGATGATTGGTACTGTAGTGATATAACATTGGGATCGACAGATGATTGGTACTGTAGTGATATAACATTGGGATCGACAGGTGATTGGTACTGTAGTGATATAACATTGGGATCTACAGATGATTGGTACTGTAGTGATATAACATTGGGAGCGACAGATGATTGGTACTGTAGTGATATAACATTGGGATCTACAGATGATTGGTTCTGTAGTGATATAACATTGGGAGCGACAGATGACTGGTACTGTAGTGATATAACATTGGGAGCGACAGATGATTGGTACTGTAGTGATAAAACATTGGGATCGACAGATGACTGGTACTGTAGTGATATAACATTAGGATCGACAGATGACTGGTACTGTAGTGATATAACATTAGGATCGACAGATGATTGGTACTGTAGTGATATAACATTAGGATCGACAGGTGATTGGTACTGTAGTGATATAACATTGGGATCGACAGATGATTGGTACTCTAGTGATATAACATTGGGATCGACAGATGATTGGTACTGTAGTGATATAACATTAGGATCTACAGATGATTGGTACTGTAGTGATATAACATTAGGATCGACAGGTGATTGGTACTGTAGTGATATAACATTGGGATCGACAGATGATTGGTACTGTAGTGATATAACATTAGGATCGACAGATGATTGGTACTGTAGTGATATAACATTAGGATCGACAGGTGATTGGTACTGTAGTGATATAACATTAGGATCGACAGATGATTGGTACTGTAGTGATATAACATTAGGAGCGACAGATGATTGGTACTGTAGTGATATAACATTAGGAGCGACAGATGATTGGTACTGTAGTGATATAACATTAGGAGCGACAGATGATTGGTACTGTAGTGATATAACATTAGGATCGACAGATGATTGGTACTGCAGTGATATAACATTAGGATCGACAGATGATTGGTACTGTAGTGATATAACATTAGGAGCGACAGATGATTGGTACTGTAGTGATATAACATTAGGATCGACAGATGACTGGTACTGTAGTGATATAACATTAGGATCGACAGATGACTGGTACTGTAGTGATATAACATTAGGATCGACAGATGATTGGTACTGTAGTGATATAACATTAGGATCGACAGGTGATTGGTACTGTAGTGATATAACATTGGGATCGACAGATGATTGGTACTCTAGTGATATAACATTGGTATCGACAGATGATTGGTACTGTAGTGATATAACATTAGGATCGACAGATGATTGGTACTGTAGTGATATAACATTAGGATCGACAGATGATTGGTACTGTAGTGATATAACATTGGGATCGACAGGTGATTGGTACTGTAGTGATATAACATTAGGATCGACAGATGATTGGTACTGTAGTGATATAACATTAGGATCGACAGGTGATTGGTACTGTAGTGATATAACATTAGGATCGACAGATGATTGGTACTGTAGTGATATAACATTAGGAGCGACAGATGATTGGTACTGTAGTGATATAACATTAGGAGCGACAGATGATTGGTACTGTAGTGATATAACATTAGGAGCGACAGATGATTGGTACTGTAGTGATATAACATTAGGATCGACAGATGATTGGTACTGTAGTGATATAACATTAGGATCGACAGATGATTGGTACTGTAGTGATATAACATTAGGATCGACAGATGATTGGTACTGTAGTGATATAACATTAGGAGCGACAGATGATTGGTACTGTAGTGATATAACATTAGGATCGACAGATGATTGGTACTGTAGTGATATAACATTGGGAGCGACAGATGATTGGTACTGTAGTGATATAACATTAGGATCAAAATATGATTGATATAGTTGTGATATAATATTGGGATCGGCAGATGATTGGTATGGGAGTGATAAAACATTGGGATCAAATGATACCTTGTTATTCAGCAGATCTCGTGTTATGACGTCACTTGGTATGGCGGCTTTTTTGGTCTCGGTCAATAACATGAGACTTTTGGCGCCTCTGTGGGTCCCATGATAAACAAGACCTTCGCCCTCGTGCTGAGGTTCATGGTCACTGTAGGCGTAAATTACCCGAACGGTGTCGTTCTGTAAAAAAAAAAATCAGCATAAGATAAGCAACATTTAAATGTTAGCAAATCAAGAACAATATCCCTGACTTACTTCCATTAAATTGTTAAATCTGAATATGGAATTATCTGGCATATTTAAAGAATAAGTGGTTAATGTTTTTGTGTAGCGGGATAACTGGACTGGAGCACATATCGGCAAAACCCTTATGTAAGAATGATAATGTGCGTCCTGGTCAGTTATCCCCATTATACCAAAATAAAAAAAAAGATTCCTTTTATTACATTTACAACAGTGAAATACTCTGGCATTTTTTCTATCATCTGTTACTTCTTCAAGGTCAAATCACAGCTAAGGAATAGAACAAATGTTGCTAATTACCGTTATCTTGACGTCATCATCGTCACACGTGTCCAGTTTACGGACTGTCTTGATTACAGTTCCATGATTGTTTTCTTCTCCATGAAGAAGAACCCAGTCCTGTGAAGCGTCAATGACTGGTTCAAAATGTCCACTTGAGTGTCTATCCTAAATAATGTAGAAAGAAATCGTTAGTTAATCTTATGTTTAATTTTTCTGCTCATCTTGATATGAATGTTCTCATACTAAATGAAAAGGGTAGAGATAACGAACAGTAATAGATCTCAGAAAAACCTACAAACAAAACCGATCTGTGAATAGGGCATAAAACACGGCCCCCTGGGAACTCCAGAGGTGGGATCTGGTGCCAAGAAGGAGTAAGCATCCCCTGTTAATCGGTCACACCCGCCATGTATTGAAAACAGGTCTGCTAAGAAAGGATCACCCATCAGTGCCCATCATAATTCAAACAGTTTGTTGGAAGACTTTGTCTCCAAAGACTACATAGATGTTGTCAATGAGGAACATCAGCATCTATTTATATTAATTGCAGAGTAAATGTGTGTAGAATCAGAGATGTTTTTTATAAATATCTTTTGTTGATGACCAATCACAAGATATAAAAATTCATTTTTATTGAAGAAGCAGTTGTCTATGAAATCAAAAAGCCCAGTTTTTAATTCATCGTGAGGAATATATGTACAAAGTGTATAAAAGTCAAACGTTTTGATGTTAACAACTTTTGGGAAAAAAAATTGTGATTTTAATTTTTTAAGAAAATTCTTTGGAGTTTTTGATAATCCACATTTGATATACATTACTTCTAGAATATGCTGTGCACAGTGGTCTGAAGTTTCTTCTTAACAGCAATTAATATTTCTGTGAGGAGTATAAAGATAGGGGCTTAATTGGTATATATATACATTGAAAATATAGTTAATGTTTACGGGTTTTTTTAATTAATGACGTATAAAAATCATAATTATATTTGATAAACATTGTATATCCGGCATGATTCTTTATATCATATCAGGTATGATCGTTGATCGTTGAACTTGGTGTGATGAACAACATTAACTCTGCAGACATGTTGTCCCTGACTTCCTAGCGGCAGTCATGGAATGTGTATATAGAGAAAATGTTGTTCCCAAGAAGACTGTCAATGTTAAATACTTTACTAATAAGACTTCTGAAATGTTAATTAATTTACACAGAGATATACTAGTTCAGCTTCCACTTATTTTAATACGAAGATTAGATACACGTATCTTTGTCGATGGAGTGTAATAATACTTGTGAACTGTTTACATTTTCAGTATTCGTTAACAGTGGAAGAAAAAAATAAAGAATAATAAAGAAATGTTTTGTGTATGCTTTCCAATGCCAATAGAACTTCAAAATCTTAAAATAAGTATGATTGTTACATTATTTTTCCTCAAAAAATATATTTCTTTGAGAAAAAAGTAACCTACGCATTGAAAAACCATTGTATATTTTAAAGTACGTTCTTAACATTCATGCAAATAACCGTTAATGAGAAAAAAGCATCGACAAATATTTTCAATTGGAGAATGAGTTTCTCTTACCTTCAAGAATGCATGCCCGTGTTTTACCCATCCAATGACGATGTCTGCTGGGTACATCTTTCCGTTAGGAGAAAGGCCAATGCCCACATATCCGCGTGTTTTGACATGAGCTTCAAATGTTATATGAGTAGAATTAAAATTCCAAAATAGATGAAAATTTCCGACAGGGTCTAGCACTGTATGTTTTGAAAACTTCTCTGTCGGAATTGGAGAATATTTTGTCCCCGGTGAGTGTGCAGGAAGACAATTAATTGTGTTTACTACTAGTAGGCATACGACAAGGAAATCAGCTACTTCAGCCATCATTATGTATGGCTAGTTTAAATTTTTCGACGCTTATATATAGTGGCTATTGAGAAATAGCATTATGTAATCATCATATGACTGATAATCATGTTTTTTTTTTTCATGAGCTGCATGTATAAAGCTTTTTGATTCATGATAAGATATAACTTTATTTATTTCCATCGTTTTCTTTCAAAGCAAAGAAATAATTCTTTCATTTACTAAAAAAATATAGAAATAAATTTTCCTTTCAACAAAGTGGGTAGAAGCCTGGCCTCGTCAACCAAAGAATGTTACAGTTCTTATCAGCCTACTGATGGGTCATATGCAGAGCGTACCGATTTGTAACACGAGCGCCCATTTGAAATGCCCCGGTTTCGTTAGAAGTAAAGTTACTTACTTGTTTGCGCATTTAGTTTAAATAACAGGAAATAAATCTTATATTATACATCACGTACAATGCATGCAGTGTAGTTTTTACAGTAAATAAGTTCTCGAAATTTTGTTTCGTTCTGAGCCCGATATTGATCAATTGGTAAATCAATTAAAATGTCGTCTTTGTAAAACTGTCAAACAATAGGCAAAAGTTTCGAATTATTCCTTTAAAGCTAAGAAACAAAGTTGCACAATTCATATTTTTATTATACCTTTCACAACTGTTAATTTAACACGTAGTATATTAAAGATGTTTAAATATTCTAATTCAGGAATGATTTTCACAATTTAATTCTATTTCCTATGCTTGAAGTATTCTTGATCTTGATCAATTTAAGAGGCATATTACAGCATGCATACACATTTATATCTATTCTGTTGTTATAAGAAAAATGCCCTAAACGAACTTTAATCTGCGTACTAACATAAAAGACATAGGGGATATTCAAGACTTATTATTTGTTATCAGATAAACAAAATCCCTGTTCAATTTATTGCCCTCAGTTGTTATTTGCATAGAGAAATTTATCAATTTTGGAAAATTTTATTAATGATTCTGCTTTCAAGAAGTATTCTTAAAAAATTAAGTTGTAATTCATATATTTTATAAAGCATTAGATCGAGAACGTAGTACTCAGACATACTCTAGATGACCAGTTTATGGGTTAAGTTCTACACTTGCTTTCGGGCACTGTGTTCCAAACTTGGATTACCCATTGCGGACATTTATGAACTTGGAAAGGTACTAGAAGTAAAAAGTGCGTTAAAACCTATCAAAAATGTATATCAACAATAAAGAAAACATATTTATATTCCCTCAAACAAAGTTTGGGTGTATAGAAAAATACCAAATGCGCCTCTCTGTTCTTGGATCCGTTTCTCAGTCCGTGCAATCGTGCCCGATCCATTACTTTCTACTGGAGAAAAAAATCGTTCTTCACATAAAGCTTCTTGCTTATGACCTGAAGGTGTGTCATGACCTTGCCCCAAAGTCAAAGTTCCAGGTCACTTTCAGAAAAAGAATGTAAAATTTCCATCTAAGAAACATTGAAAGATCATACTTGACAAAAAAGATTGCTTATAATCAAAGGAGATGTCACGACTTTATCCCAAGGTCATTTAGAGAAACAGTGTATAATTTGTTTCACGTCCATACATATCGAAATCGATACAAAGATTACACATGAACTGAAGATGTCTGATGACCTTGAACTTAGGTCATTTTGATAAGTTCAAAGTCACTTTGACAAATGTAAAATGTAAAATTCCTGTTCTATTTTTAACTTGTAATTATGAAACGTTGCATGTTCATTCAAAATGAGCTGAGGCTGTACGCTAAGAACTTGTTTTCATCACCATGATTTAAGGGTAACAAGAATTTCTTTAAAGTCAAGAGAGAGAGAGAGAGGGGGGGGATATTCAATGTTTTGTAGATGAATATGGAATTTATTTCACGAGTAGGACAGGATTTTTTGATATTTTCACGAGTGCAAAGCAAGAGTGAAAATATCAAAAAATCATGTCTCACGAGTGAAATAAATTCCATATTCATCTACAAAACATTGAATTTTCTGTTTATTACATTTTCTTAGATTTTCACTTTGCCTCTGTCTTTTCGTAACACAGTGTCATAGGCTGTGACGTCATAGTTGAGTGGTTGAGACGACATAGCAAAGCGATTGCAAGTAAACATGGATTTTTAACGACATATTTGGAAAAAAAACTTTGGCAGTATAACTATTAGTCTCTGTCAGGATGGCTTATAAACTCTATCTTATAACAGGCTAGGGATTATTTTAAAATCACTCTTCGTGAAGGGAAGGAAAATTGTGAGTTTTGCCGCACTTCTGATATTCTCACACTGTGAGAATACATTTTGATATCCTTTCACACTGTGTCAGAATATCACTTTTATTCAGTAAATAAATAACAGTATTTCACTGTTGAAAATGTTATATATATATATATATATATATATATATATATATATATATATATATATATATATATATATATATATATATATATATATATATATATATATATAGGTATGTATGTATATAGAATAGTATAGTGTAGCACAAATTTCCTCACCAATTTTTTTTTAATTGATTACATGAACTGCTGTCAAAGTGAAAATTACACATTTGTTCTTTAACTCGTGGCCCCACAATATTAATGTAATTTTGTATAGAATTCAAGGATTGTGATGTGATAATCTAACCATCTTGTATTCCATTTCTAGCGCCAAGGCTCACAAGCGCCCCCAAAATCCAAATTACTAGTGCTAGTATCAATATACACAGATTAAGCTCGTGAGAAGATTCCCATTTATCAGACAGAAGAATCTCTTACGTTTGAAACTCACTGCATATAAAGGTATTAATATCTGTTCTTGCTTCTTTTGTGAGCTAACTATGATGATAAAGTTTCTGACTGAAAAAGTTGTAGTTGTTGGAGATCAAGTCTTCCAACAATTCTTTTGGGTACCAATTGCCCTCGTTATTAGCAGACCTATTTTTATATTCATATAAAGCAGAATGTATTCATAAACTTAAACACAAAGAAGAAAACAATTGCTGTGGCCTTTAACACGACATTTAGATATATCAACGACGTGTTTTGAATAAACAATAGTTAGTTCTATTCATATGTCGACTCGATATATCCCAGTGAAATGAACTTATGAATTAAAGATACCAAAGATTCTGACACATTTGTTTCATATTTGGATATTTTACTACAAAAAGACGTTATATAATGGTAGATTAACAACAAAACTTTATGATAGACGTGATGACTTCAACTTTTCTATCGTCAACTTCCCTTATTTAAGTAGCAATATACCCTTATCACCTGCATATGGAGTTTATATCTTCCAGATGACTTGATACGCACAAACATACTCTACGTACGAACAGTTTCTTAAAGAAGGCATGCTCTATGTACGAACAATTTCTAAAAAAAGGCAAGATATTGACAAATAAGTTGATGAAATAAGAATATCGATAGTGTTGTTTGAACTCAACATTTCACAAGTTCTATAGTCGATACAATGACCTTGTCAGCAAATACAATCTATCACTAAGTCGAATGCTGACTGACGTTTTTTCATACTTATTGTTAGACCATTATTTACTCAATGAAATGTCTGAGGATTTTTCCGTCATTTCCCGATCATGACAAGGAGCACACGACGGATGTGCCTGACAGGGGATGCTTCCTCCTCCATGCACCTGACCCCTTCTCTGATGCTTTTAGAGGTCCTTGTTTCATCTGCTCCGGATTTGTATTGTTTCATTGAACTTTTGAGCTTTAATACTGTTAGTTATTTCCATTTTTCATTTAACTTTCCGTTACGGCAATAATTCTCCTTTACACACAAATTCAAGAGCCCGACTAATGACTGAATTTCTTCTAGTGTAACTGTCCTGTTTTTTTTTTTAAATGTTCTTGACGCGTGATTTTGTAAGCTTCTTGAGGGGTTATCTAACTTCCATCTCGGAATCAAAATCTAGTTTCAAGTATATTATGATAGTAAGTTGAAGAATTGACAAATTTATATCCTCAGCAATATTTTAAAAAGCTGTGATAATGGCTCTGCATACATAATACTGTAAACCAATTTTTTTTCGCGTGAGAGAAATATATGTGATTTTCGCGACCTTCTTTAACCCGCGAATATTAATCGCCGCGAACCATTTATTTTGCTTTGTATTTGTAAAGAATGATTCCTCAGTCACGAAAATTAATCGTCGTGGATTGATTATAATCTGACGAATCGCGAATAAAAGATGACGCGAATAATAGTTGGTTTACAATACAATAGAGAACCAGTTGGTCCTAACAAAAACATCCAAAAATTGAACACATGTATACCCACCACTTCTGATTTTATTGTTTACAATCCTATGTAGGGAACTACTCAATGTTTCAAACAACCTACATGAGTAGCTCCAACCCATAAGCAAAGCTTTTTTTCATAGTAGAATCGACTTTCTTTTGCAAAACCCGACAAACCATGACAACTGGGATGTATGGATATAATTTTATGATTATTTTTTTTATATCTGTCTTTAATTATTCAGCTTTCCCATAAAGCTTGACCAATGTAATGGCGCCATCCACAGTCTGGTACAGAAGTGAGAAAACATCGTCTGGAGTTCCATCATTGATTGATTTATCATTGGGATTTGAAAGGTGATGGATGACCCTAAATTCCCCTTGGACTTTTTTGGGGACCAAACCTAATGAGGAAACTTGCAAATAAAGGGAAGGAACTTCAACAAAATCTCCAACAACTGTTTCTTTGACGTCTTTTGACTTTTTCCCCTTCAAAATATCTGCAGATTGTAGAATTTTACTGAATATGAGTACATTCCTCTATTTTTAGAATCGGTAGGGGAAGAAAATAGTTCACTAAAACGAAATAGTTCCATAACTTGCAAGCAGTATATAAAATATGTAGGTCATCTGAACTAAAGATGCTTAATATGTATGAAAGAAGAGAAATTTCCACGTTCAAAACCATTTTCATTATTGTGTTATCTTAAAAGGAAAGGGTTGGAATTGTTTGACATGTGCATACCCTGACTTTGGGAATTACCCAACTTTTACTTTCATTATCAGATGTTTTTGTGAACATGTGCATTCTGCCGGAAAACGAATCTGACATGCCACCTCGAGATTTTAACCATTTAGAGAAAATTTTACAAGCTTTTACTGAGTATTTAGGGGCTGTCTCATCCTTCAACGAAAATTAGGTGAGGAACTGTGTGAGAAAGCGTTAACATTGTCACCTATGGAAAATGTATTAGTGGACTGTACCCATCTGTATTTTCTTTCCTCCTTGAAAGGCATTATGAAACCTTGCATAAACCAAGTAAAAAGAAATTGTTTGTTTTGTGTATTATACCAATCAAGCCAATTGATTTTTTTGTTTGTAGTTAGGTACAAAGTCACATGATTTTTATTGGAAATATTAAGATTTTATCAATTTTTTCTTTATTATTTTAAACGAAGACTTTCAAATACTAGCTCCTCTTGAGGTAGTTCTGTCACAGGTGACATAACAGAACATTGCACAAATATTTTGGTTAATGCTTTATCCTTTGACATTTACTATATCAGCATTACCATACCCAACGCCCAGTTGAGGAATCTTTACTGTTCATTTCATAAACGATTTAGGGTTCAATTAGAGAAGACTCCGGTTATTTATTACCGTAATATTTTGGACTGACTTTGCTTGAGAAACTATTGAAAGCCTTGTTAGTTCTCTTCAGTAATTCAGCGAAAACTAATTAAACATGTCCACGACATAAGCACCTTATATTGTTTGTTTGTTTGCATGTTGTTTAACGTCCCTCTCGAGAATTTTTCACTCATATGGAGACGCCACCATTTGCGGGTGGAAAGCTGCACATTTTGTCCTATGCTCGGCACTTACGGCCATTGAGCAGTGAGGGATCTTTATCGTGCCAGCACCTACTGCGACACGGTACCTCGGTTTATACGGTCTCATCCGAAGGACCGGTCTCCACGTCCCACAGTGGGATTCGAACCCCCGACGTAAGGATCAACTCCTTACTTCGCGACTCTAGAGCAGACGCTCTAACAACTGCGCTACGCGGGCGACTTAAGCACCTTATAAGAAAAGGACGGAATCAATCATGGATAAAGCTTTAAAGACCCATGGTATTTTTCTTCAAGATACAAATACCGTATAACTAGAAATTTTAGCGAGACGCAAATTTATCGATTTATCCAAAAAAAATTGGTATATATTGTTAGCGAGAACTAATTTTTTATCGATTTTATAATGTCAAGAGATATAACTATAACAACCGAAATGGAATGAAATGTTAGCGATATTTAATTTTAGCGATCTCAGAATCCTCACTAATAATTCCAAAATTAAATAAAATTAAACGTTCAAGTGTTTTTTTTCTTTGATAAAATCTCTGTGTATGTTTGCATTAAAACAGACAATTTTATTTTAAAAAATAGCGAAGGTTCATTTTTATATCGTACTAGTATTTTTGATCAGTAATAATAATTTTACATTTACTTTCCTCCCCAAATGTTTGTTATCCTTTTCCATGTGTTCTTTTTCAAAACTGCTTCAGTCAATGGAACCAAATATGGCTATATTTTCAATGGAAATAGGGCCTATTGCTACATAGTGATTGTTATAACAATTTCATCTGAAGTTTGCAGATTTGCAAGTGAATGTGTACACGTTTTGAATTCTTCGGCCGTGTATGAAATTTTAATATAGAACAAAATCACTATTTTAGGACAGGTTTATCACAAAGGGTTGTCACACGTAAAATGATTCTCAAATCGTTTATAACATCTGATGTTGTGTATTATATATGTAGGACTCCAAAGTGCGATGGGACTCCAAAGCCCGATGGTCACGCCAAAGTCCGATGGTCTGCACCAAACTCCGATGGTTCACACGCCAAAGTCCGATGGCGCAGAAAAAATAATTATTGTTTATGACGTCATAGTACTTCTGCGACAAATAGCGAGGTAAAACGGTTTAAAATGAATTAAATGAATTTTAAGTATTTAAACGCCAAAGTAATCTGGTTCACTAAAAAACGCAAAAAATATATTGTACCACTAGCCATAATTTCTTAAGTGGTTTCGAGGCAAACCTTTACCTCTCTGATGGGTGCAAGGCTAACCCTAATCTCTCTGATGGGTGCGAGGCTAAACCTAACCTTTCGGATGGGTGCGAGGCTGGCCCTAATCTCTTGGATGTGTGCGAGGCTACTCCTAATCGGTCAAAAAGTCTGTAACATATCTTGGATGGGAGGAAAACTGACCCTAATCAGTCAAACCTCTTTTGGGGTGCGAGACTAAAACTATTCAATCGAAAAGTGTACAAGGATTAACCCTTAATGTCTTGGGTGGGTGCAACCCATCACTAACCCTTATCAGGCAAGTGGTGTGCAAGGACTAATCCTACAATGGAATAACTCAGGTGAGTGTAAACATTAAGTAAAATCGGTCAAATTGTATTCGATTACTCATCCTAAATTATTGGTTTTGACTATGGCGTCAAGGATTGACGTCGGAATATTGTGACGTCATAAATGTTAATTGTTTCTCCGCACCATCGGACTTTAGCGTGTCAGACCATCGCACTTTAGCGCACGTGTAACATAGGAAACGAGCCACCGGACTTTAGCGTGACCATCGGACTTTGGCATCCGTACCGACGTCAAACCATCGGGATTTGGCGCAGACCATCGGACTTTGGCGTCACCATCAGACTTTGGAGTATTACATATATATAATAGTTTTTTATGCATAAGCTAAGATAATGATACCATAATTTATTTAAGCAAAAATAAAAATCTACATCCTCAATATTCCTAAATAAAATTTAAATCGAGGATCCCGTTGATTAAACAGTACAGTTTGTGTCTATGTGCTCTGTGTAAGGTACTGTAGGATAAATAGTCTGGGGATGGAAGACACTGTAGTTATACTGCAAAGAAAAGAGGTGTAAATTTTATCATACACAAAACACAACAGTGGTTATACAGTACATTGAGAAATACAATTTGACGGGTAAGAATATACTCTTAATCAATATATACAAACTTTCGGCGTAATTTATGCTTCACAAAAAGAAATCATAGAACTGTATGTCTAATAATTCAACATTTAGTATTATGTCAACGAATATCACAATGTTAAAGGTTTTTTTTATTGTAAACCCCAAAATACGACTGTCATATCTATGTACAGTATATGTACGTGCTGAGAATGGAATTTCTTTCTATTTCAAATACCGGTAATCATTTTATAATCATCTTAAAATCAAGAATATACTGACATGATTTAGATTTGAATTTACTGCAAGGGGGAGCAAATTTTTAAGCATACAATGCACGTTTCTTGGTGTCTTCAACGACAACACCAGATTTGTAAATTTAATGAAAAAGTTATGGATGATATCCTTTCCTAAGAATTTTTTCTTATCAAAATCAAAATATATCAACTTCAACACAGACTAAAATTAATTACCACAGTTTTATCATGTCCGTAAATGAAGAAGTAAGAGTCATTGGCCAGACTTTCATTAAACTTTTGGAACACAGTTGCGTTTTTCCAGTCAAAGGCATTAAACTTAGATGTCAGTGGTGCAAGATAACCCCACTGTTTGTTTATGTTGTCGTGGAGTCGATCATACAGTGGTTTACTAAGGCAGGCAAACAGTCTTGTACGTGGGTAATGGAATAAGGAGGATACACACATTTCTTCACTTGTAGAAAAGCCCCCCTAGAATGCAAAAATTATATGCAAATATGGGATTTATTATAATCAAGAACTGAAATAAACAGTATCTCCCTAAAGGAGTAACTTGAAAAAAGGCACGTATAATACAAACTACTACAAGAAATTCGAGGAATATATTATGTATTGCATTTTTACATTTTTTTACTACAGTTATTGTGCTAGTAACTTAAATATAAATCTTTCAAGGTCTCTAATTTTAGTTAATGTGTTTAATATTTTCAATGTATTTAATAATGTAGTTAATACATTTAATATTGTTTAACTGTTTTACTTCCTCTAATATCAGTTATTTTAACATTTATTTAACATTTATTTACTACTTAAATATGTTAAATTTCTTTATATAACAAGTATTTTGCTATGTTCCACTTCCTCTAGTTACAATTATTGCGTTCAATACTGACATTTGTTATAATTCTGAATTCTTATTAAGGTCCTCAATATTTAATTTCCGCCCAAGAATTTGTCATTAAAGTATTTCTACTTTAACAAGTTTCCTTGCAAAAAGTTGAGGTACCTTACCAGGGATTTGTGAAAGGTATCGGAGGATGGCGATCCCTACATAGTTCTATTGGAAATAACTTGAATTGCTTATATCACATTTTATTTGTTCTTTATTTTTTAAAAATATTTTGAAAAAAATTCAGAAACAGCAAGATAACAATAATTATTAATATTTTGGTAAATTACAGAGACACAAAAGCAATATTATTTGGGGAACGTGTCGTCTCACCTTAATGTTATTTTGTTGAACATTTTCACTTTCTTTTACAGTTAATGTATTTTATACTTAACTTACATATGTTACATTGGTCCTTCCTGTTGAGTCATATGTACACTCCAAAATAATGCTATCGCCCTGTAAATAAATATTTATCTTTTTCCCTCAATCAAATAAAAAGATGAATTTTAAAGACATAAGGTAAAGGAATCATCTATTTTCTAAGTTTGAGTAGAAGTATGGATTGAGAAGAAAGACTATATAATGAAGAAGAAACTTTAAAGTTTGAGAAGATTCAGAGAAAAATGAGTCTCACATATCTGTTTCAAATGTTGATGTTGCACTAGAAAAAGACATTGAGGGCAAATTAATAACTAAACTGTATGATTAAAATGATGATTTCAGCTTTTCTATCGTCAGCTTCCCTTATTTATGTATACAAAGTATCACCTACATCAGGGGTTTATGTGCCCCAGTTGATTCGATATACAAGAGCACGTTCAATTTCTAAATCAGGCAAGCTACTGAAATATTAGTTGATAATACATAGAAATAAACAATCTCGTTCAAAGGCAATCTTTTGTAAATTCTATGGTCGATATAACGAACTTTTTGCACATACAATCTGTGGTTAGATCGAATGTTGACTTACGTATTTTATACAAATTTTGGGCCATTATTTTCATATCGAATTGTCGTCGAATTTTTCTGTTTACCCGATCATGAAAAGAAGCACACAGCGGGTGTGACCGGTCGACAAGGGATACTCACTCCAACTTGGCACCTGATCCCATCTCTGTTTTTAGAGGTCCGTGTTTGCTCTGCTCACATTTTGTTTAGTTTAATTTGACTTTTGAATCTAACCATTTGCTATTTTCATATTTTATCATAAAGTAATTGAAAAAAAGATGTACTTATAGAGCTAAAGATGTCTATTAAACTCTCTGTTAATGGTAATCAAACTTCCTTATCACAACATCATACATACGTCTCTTAGTGTTCTGTTTGTATCATCATACATACGTCTCTTAGTGTTCTGTTTGTATCATCATACATACGTCTTTTAGAGTTCTGTTTGTTACAACATGCAAGGGGATGCTCACTCCTCCATGGCACCTGATCCCACCTCTGATGCTTTAAAGGTCCGTGTTTGCTCTGCTCCAAAATTTGTATTGTTTAATGGACTTCTGAGTTTGAATACTGTTCGTTATCTCCATACATTTCATACATACGTCTCTTAGTGTTCTGTTTGAAACATCATACATACGTCTCTTAGTGTTCTATTTGTAACATCATACATACGTCATTTAGTCTTCTGTTTGTAATATCATGCATACGTCTCTTAGTGTTCTGTTTGTTCTACGGAAATCCTGATAATTAAAGTCATAGTGTCTGTCATCTGCTAACGGTTTCTGTTCCACTCCACCTCGAATAAGTCGTGTTTTTATCGCCTTGCCGAGTAGATGGGCGTGTTGCTGGACTCCAAAGATATGGATACCATTTGGAAAGTCTTTTAGACCCTGAATTGTATAGAACATAACTTGTATAAATACATGGGCCTCACTGAATTTGAAACCAACAACTTTTTAATAGTATATACTAGTAAAATATTTTACTACAAACAATTTCTGATACAACACAGACATTATCAAACATTATGATGATACCAGGATATCTACAAATTCGTTTGAAGTCAACATTTCCCAAATTCTATGGTCATTATTATGACCTCGGTTGCAAATACAATATGTCGTTAGGACAAATGTCGACTAACGGTTTTCATATTTTCCCTCCTATGATGCTTTAAGAGGTCCATGTTTGCTCTGCTCATAATTTGTATTATCTCGGTGGACTTTAGAGCTTGATAAGTTCTCGCTCTCTCCATATTTCATGTCTTTGTCAAGCATTAGCATAACTCTGTTTTATAAATATTTAATACCTGATGTAAAATAGATTCGTTACAGAAGACAGTTGAGATAAAATTGGGCTGATAAGGAGGAATCACTTGACTCTGGTCAACCATGGCTGTTACTTGCAGAACACCTGCGTCATGAAGCCTCAGGGTGGGGGTCACGGTCAACCGGTACCCAGAACTATCCACAAAGTCTGCAAAATAGATAACAAACTCCAATTTAAGATTCTTTTCGAGGCCTAGTGTACGTTACAGATACCTAACACTCCTGCTAAAAAATTTCTCGTGTTTATTCTCTTCCCTTCAAAATCACCCTTTATTGCATGATAACCTAGTACATACATATATTTTATACATGTGGTTTTAGTGTCCACTTAAATAACAATCTGTAACGAAATTTGTAGGCTTCGTATAAAATATTTAAATGACTAGGTACTTTACCAAATTGTTTGTTTCTTTGCTTTCCATTACTTTCGAGATTTTTTTCTGTTATGTCTTGAAGCCATTAAATTCTGATTACAAAATTGTACTCGACAATTATGGTCATTGAGTAGTGGGGGATCTTTTTGTGCCTGCGTGTAATGCGATACAGGACCAAGTTTCCAATTCCAACAGTAAGATTCGAACCAACGAGGTAAGGATTAACTCCTTACTTTGCGACTCTCAAAGCAGGACTTTGCTCTAATAACTGCGGGTGTCTTATATGAAATAAGGTTTATGGTGCAAATGTTTTTACTGTTTGAAAGATTCTCAATCTTAAGAATACATATACATACAGAATGGAGGGGTTATTCAGTATAATTAATTAATTAATTTTGTAGATCTAACTCCAAATATCTGCATTTGCTAGATTTTTTTCAAAGATAAACAGGCCAGTTAAATCTTTGGTTTTACCTTCATAACTGCAAGCCTGAACTATTTTTTATTTCTTTACTTGATTATGTCAGATAGCATGACTAATGTATCGAATAGGGAGACAGATAGAGGTCAAAGGAGGGAAGGCAATAAAACGATTGTTTTAACTATATTTCCTGTGAAATATTACTTGTTTGTTGCAGGGATAGCGTAATAGCTACTGTGAGGTGAAAATATATATATGTAACAAGTCCCTATCTCCTGTGTTTATGAGGACCATGTGAAAATTCTTAATAAAGTGGCTTCACTCTTTTGGATTCTTAATTGCTCCAAGGTCTTTTATTAACTCATGCAAACAAAAACATTGAAACCTGTTTTTAAAAAAAATCAATTAGAAAACATTGCAACTCGTTTGAAACTTAAAATATATATGAATAGAATAACTTAATCTTCGACATTTTTAGGCTCATTTGTTTACATTAGGACAGTCATTTAATTGCTTGATTTAAAATATTGACCATTTCTTAATCCTGGGTTATTGTAATGGGTTTCCATGATGTACAGATCTGTATCCCCGGGTTCAGCCACCGGAAGTCCAGCCTCATCAGGGAAGTAAAACGCCTATGAAAAGTTAATATTTACTTAGTAATATTTATAATTATGTTGCCAAGGAGGATTGGATAACTGGAATTTTAATTCAGATTTAACCCAGGTAAACGAAAAATGAAGTTAACATTAATTAAGTAGCAAATGAAATATTAATTAAATCGCAAATCAAACTATTTCAAAGTAGTTTTTAATGAAATATTCCCACAATATTTTTTTCATTTGCTTATACAAAGAATTTAAGCTCAATAAATAACTGCTCAATTATTGGTGAAATAATTTCTTCTTTTCAAAAATATTTATATTTAACTAATGTTAATACAATAACAAACTCTTTATTTCAGAAAGTATCTAAGTTCATACATACTATGTCATATTGTACGTTGTATTTCAATTAGTATTAGGATATAGTTTTTGAGACAAAAAATGGTAGTAAAAATAATTTTGCATAAGCAGGTTCTCTATATAAAAAAAGATAGTTATCTTTTACAAATTATATTTTTTTCATTTAGATTCGCTTTATCAGTGTGATGTTGGATAGTTGTTTTTTAACAATTACCTCTCCTCCAACGGCCCAGATGGCGATGATGTTACCACAGGGATGTTTAGACTTGTCCGGATCGTCGTGACAAACGTAATTAGGTGAGTTTATAAGGTTTCTGTTGATTCCTGGACACTTGTACATTACCATGTGGTGCACCAAAACTTCATGGCCTTTCTGTACAACCACCTCAAACTGTGAAAGAAATCAGGAATTGGAAACGGATATTAAACTGAATTCAGAAAAAAGAATTTCCCATTCAAACATTCCGATTAAATCTGATAACTATTTAACTTGCTATATTGCAACATTAATTCATATTCATAATGTAAAATATATTTTGAATAAATATGTACGAAATCAGTCTATATATAGTAATGACATTATCAATACCTTTGTTAGATGGTGCTTTTTGTGAAGAGTAGAAAAGTCAAAGATTCGGCAGCTGTACGTCGTGTCAACAGCAGGTACATGATACTGAAAAGAAGGGAAAATTGAAAGTAACCCTTTGTTATAAACATAAGTAAATTTTAAGATTTCTTTCTATGTTTAAATGCACATTGTTTTTTTTTTCATTGAAACTGTGATGTTCCATGTAAATTTCGACAATTTCTTTCAATTACAAGTACCGAAAGAACGATTATCACTCTGAAGAATTTTATGAAAATTAAAATTTCAAACACTACTTTTGTTCAAGTTTTTCAGTTCATAAAAAATTAAAGTCTTACGTTATTGTTGAAAAAATCAATGACTTTTGAGTCGCTCTCTAGAACTGGAGGGGATATTTTGGACAGAAGCAATAGACTTTTGACCCCGCGATTGACTCCGTGATACATAATGGTGTCATGGCTAGCAGGATCATTATGGTGGTATGAGTAAATAACTTTCACTGTATTATCCTGTTGTAAATGAACAAAAAGAATGAGAATATAGAGTGCTGTAACATTGTCTATGGCTAACATTAAAGGGGCATGAACAGAGTTGCAATTGCGTTTTGGTTACAATTTTAAACGTCTATTTTCATTCATTCAAAAAGTAACATCAGTATAATGAGTTAAACTTACATTAAAATTCTAAAAATCCATTAACAACTGCATTTTTCATAACATTAAAACTCCCGTGTTTGTAAACTGGGCTCGAGCTTATTCTTAATGTTAAAATTTTTCATCAGTTGATTAACTTTGCACAGATCAGTTAACACTAACTGGCAACACTGATGTGTTGGTTTTTGCTTTCTCATATTTCAATTCTGACTTTTCTTGTTATAGTTTCAATATTTTCAGTGATAATCATTACAACTCAAATTTAACTTCAAATTTTCCACTCTTCCTAATTTTTAAGGATTTATCTTAATTCAAAATAGTGCAAGGATGTAAAACAATCAAACACACCCAAATTCGTATTTTTGATTATTTTTAGATAAAGGAAGTTTCTTTGACAAGCTTTCATAATTAATCGGTCTGAAATTCTTTCGCAAAATGCAAGTCATGATATTTAATCGAAAATTTCGAAAGATATTAAGGTCATATCTGAGTCCATGCTCCATGAAGCCGATAATTATGGCCTAATAACAAACAAGAAGTAAAAAGGACTTTTAGAGTCTTTACTGAAATCAGAAAAGCTGATTACGTCAGAGAACAATTGAAAGTTTCTTAACATCAAACCATTTTCAATAAAAGAATGAAATCTCTTTTTCATGACTTACTGAAATTCTGACAATTACGTATGTAGATATGTATACCGTGATTTTGAAGTCTTTATCATCACAGGTGTCTAGCTTCCTGGCCATTTTTAAGGAAGTCCGACAACTGTCCTCATTTGCGTAAAGTAGATGCCAGTCTTGAGACGAATCCACAATAGGTCTAGAGTGACCAACACTGTGCATGTCCTACAGTGAGAGACATTTTGGTTTAAATTATTCTAAATAGTAATGTATCTCCTTCTTTCGTGACAGAATTACAGTTATACCTTGAAATGAGGAACTCCATCTTTAACCCATCCAACTATGATGTCAGCAGGATACATTTTACCATTTGGTGATAATCCAAATCCGATGTAGCCTTTAGTTTCCACGTGTGCCTCAAATACTATATGTGTTTTGTTCACATTCCAAAACAGTATATATTTTCCGTCGGGATCAATGTTTTCCTGAAAGTCAAATTGTTCCGTCGGTGTAGGAGAACCGCATGGATTAAGTGTTGTCGGCAGTGACGTCATCTTTTCATTCATCGACGTAGGACATGTAGATGGTGGCTCAACGTACGGAGAATCTGGGAACAGCATCTGAAGTTCTTGATGGCTGTACTGAAATTTAATCCAGGACACGTCTTATTTTCATAAGATATCCATGCATAAATGCAGTTGCATTTAGTAACTTTCGTTTTCGGATCAACTAAAAGTAAACTGTAGGAAACCAGCTGCAGTATGTTAATGTACTATCCAATTTTTTTTTACTCTTCCCAAGCCTTAAAGTTATTACATGTAATTGCAGATAAATTTGATGTACATGTCGCCCAATCTTAGGACAATTGAAAGTATTTGAAATTTTATAAAGAACGGTCAGATTTTTTGAGAGAAGACAAGGAAAAACAAAACTTGGGGAAAAAATCAGAATCTTGTCACGTATTGGCGGCGAAGAAACAAAAGTTTATTTACTGTAAATATGTGTCTATACTCTTTCAAACATTTAACAGACCAAAGTAACGTTAACTTACTTATAACATTAGCATGACCTTAAGGATAGCTTATACGTTGTCTACATAAAGAAATAGAAGATTACTTCTGGGGTCAATGATGAGCCACTACAGCCCGCCCAGTGATTTGTTGTTGAGAGTGCAAGTTTGAAATACGTTCTGGAAGTTGCCGAAGTCCAATCATAGAAAGACGCCACTGTATGTCCGCTAGAGTCTTTTCTATTGATACTGTTATACATTGGTGTACTCTGACAGCTTTCTACGGCCATCCGTGGATAGTAAACCATAAACGATAGACACATCTCATCAGTGGTAGCTAATCCTCCCTAAAATAATGTTATCTAATTAACTATGAGAACAACTTTTACGTCGGCTGAATGATAAATGTTTATATTATCCAGGTATGATTTAGGTTGTGTATAGTTTAACATACACAAGCACAGGCAGGTACTGGCACAGGAAGCAATCCAAGTCCAAATAGGTATCCTTTAAAATGATGTCAACAATTTTTACGACTGGGAAAGAGTACTAATAGAATTTCCCTGATAAGTTTTCTTTTTAAAATATACTGTTTTCTGTTTTTACTTACATAAGTAACAGCAGACTTTTGTGAAGAATCATAAATGCATTCCACAACCAGGGCATCGCCCTAAAACGATTTTAAGCAAATGCATAAAATTGATTAATAAATATTTTATTCTTATTGTTTAAATGATGAAAAAGGTGTAAATGAGACTTTTCTTTATTTTAACAACTGAAAGATGAACCTCTGTAATTTATTATAGTAACAATTTAAAGATGTACTATGGCAGAAAACATAATTGAGCCTATACAGATAAACCAATCCTCTGCAGTTCATTTGTGTCCTTTAGGCTTTTAAATAACGAGGAAGATTTAAAGATTGAATGCAAGTTTTTTCATACAAGCATACTGCTTTCAACCCAATCCTGGGGAATGGCTCCTTCATTTGGTCCATTTATTTTACACTCAATGTTCAGATCCCCTTGCATATTATTGTTATGTTCTTCGTTTGTCTCCTAGTTGCTTGCTAGTAAAGATGATTTTTTTTTAAAAAAAAAAGATGGAATGCATTTAACCAATCTTTTCCCCAGGCTTTCTATTGCTATGTACTCGGTCTGTCTCCTTAATGCTTGCCAGTAAAGACGATTTTTATGGGTGAAATGCCTTTTCACTAAAAACTGAAATTCGTACACGCTGTGGATTAAACCGAGACAGGGAACATGAATAACACAGTTTCTGTTGAGTTCACTTTCTTGTTCTAAATATGTAATCTATTACCTTGATGCTTGCCAGAAAATACGATTTTCAAACAGTACAGTAATACTATGCTGATATATTACTTATTAACCCGGAAGCCTCTGAATCTCTTCAGCCAAGATAAGACTAAAAATTTTAAAAATTCTTTGACACAACTTCATATAACTAGGCACTCAGTATGTTTTCTAGATGCTCACTATTAAACGGTCACATATCGAAGATGTAAAGAGGAAAGTTCCAGTGATGAACTTACCGACATTAATTTTCTAGGCTTGGGATAATATCGATAATCTTGGTAATTAAAATCATAGTTATTGTCCACTGCTAACGGTTCTAATTCCGTCCCATTACGGAAAATTCTAGTCTTCATTTTTCTGGCCAGCAAATGACCGTGTTCCAGTATTGCGAATACGTTTACTCCGTCGGAGAAAGAGTCAAGACCCTGTAATATAGCAAAATACATTTATTCATAATTGCTTCGCACTCATTATATATATATATATATATATATATATATATATATATATATATATATATATATATATATATATATATATATATATATATATATATATATATATATACACAGTGGCGCTTCATTTATCCGGACACCTCCGTCCCCAACAAAATCGTCCGGATAAATGAATCGTCCAGATAATTGAATCATCTGTTAAAAATCCCTCTCCAAGCATGTATATATGCACATATTGGTATCAGATGTGAAGACAAAGGGAAAAAACTTAATATTTTGGTTTATTGTTTTTATATTATAGTTTTAAAAGAAGTAATTAATTAATTAATTAAAGAAAAATATATTAAAATGTTATTTACACGATAGAAGAAATGGAAAGGCAATTTTATGCCGAGACCTCCCTTTTTAACACAGGGAAATTTTTTTTCGCCTTCTCTTTGGCATGTGACTTCATGGGCTGAGCAAATTTTGATCTACAAGTTTTATTTCACCGTATTTTATAATTATTGAAGCTCATTAAGTATGACAGCATCATCGTTGAAAATGTTCAAATATAAACTAACCCCGTATCTTCATTACACGGGACTATTATAGTAACTGAACACTGAAAGGTGACTCAGACACGTGCATTCAGTGAAAGCATTGTAAACATTCAACATAAACATAAGCCATTTTAATGTCAGATTATCAATATTTTTTCTACAGACTCTAAGTTTAAATTTCGATTTAAAAAAAATGCATTGAAAAACGTAATAAACTTCTATACCCAACGCCAGTTTTCTATTTCTTTTCTAAAATTACGTGCGTTTATAGGCGGACTATTACATTAAATAGAAAGGCATTCTTCAATAATGTACCTTTTTAAACTGCCCTATGAAAAAAAAAGCGTTTCAAATACATTTTCGTTTTTATAGAAATGAAAAACCGTATTTTAAACTAATGCAGTCAACATGATCAAGGTCATAACAAAATCGCTCGTTTTATTGTTCATTTTTATTTATAACTCTCCAAAATTCTCATAAATTTACAGATGTATATAAGGTTAGCAATTTGATTTTGAACGGTTTCTTATTTAATTAATGCACAATGTAAGCTTAATTCTTCGAGCTTCATAATAGACGTCTATTTTATTAAGGTAAACACACGCTAATTTTAGACGCTATTTGTAGGTCACAGGTAACCACCTTGAAACTGACTGCATGGCCAACGTTTTTTACAAAAATTAACACTACTGCAAGATAAGTGTGAAAATGTCGTTTCTTGAAAAATTACCGTCCGGATAAACGAGTCATTTTTCAATGAACTACTACATTTTGTAGTAGAAATTGACCGTCCGGATGCGGAACGCGAATTTCCGGATTAATGAGACAGAATAACGTGGAAAAAATCGGTTCCAAAAAATATCGTCCGGAAGGTGAAGCGTCCGGATAAATGGCGTCCGGATAAACGCGGCGCCACTGTATATATATATATATATATATATATATATATATATATATATATATATATATATATATATATATATATACGTGTGTGTATATATATATATATATATATATATATATATATATATATATATATATATATATATATATATATATATATATATATATACGTGTGTGTGTGTATATATATATATATATATATATATATATATATATATATATATATATATATATATATATATATATATAGTTTTGTTGAAAAATTTGTTTAGATAGAGATGTCGAAAAGTAAAACAAATTGAAGCAGAAAGGACGATGAAAGATGAAAGAAAGCAATATATCAACTGACAGGTGACCAAACAATTCAAGTTTTTTATTACCTTTTTCAAACACTCTTGTGTACAAAACCCACTGGATAGGAACTCTTTTTCAAATGGAGGAACAATCTGCAAATCATTGACTCCCAATCCCGCCATCAGAATACCAGCATCGTGTCTCCTCAAAGTCGGTGTCAAGGTTAGACGAAAGCCAGAGTTGTCCACAAAATCTTTTGGAAAAAAATAGTTTTTAAATTTTCATATTATACAGTACTTCTAGAATTCTTCATCTTCCAATAATCATTGCTGATCCCGGTCAATTACAACCCTCTATACATGTTAGACAGATCGGGTAAAGTGGCAATTGTTGAAATAATTCGCTGCAAATTTTGATCAAAGAAAACAGGAGAAATATTCGGAGGGTTGTTTATATAAAGAAATACTATAACCTCTAGGAAAACATGCTACTAGAAATGAATTACTTGTAAATTATAAAACACTTAAAAGGTAGAGGATAGAAAGAAGAGGTACCATTTCTCTTGTCAGCATTGTTAAAATGAGTCTCCATGATAAAAAGGTCATTGTCTCCTATTTCTCCGAGTGGAAGACCCGCTTCCTCGGGGTAATAAAACGCCTACAATATACAATTCCATTCACTTAATTAAACATTTCACCTCTGTAATATTCTACTACACAATAAAGTTGTTTTTAACTCTGGTAAGTACTAATTCTTACTTAACAGAAATATTTCTCATGCAGGTATTTAAGAATGTATTTCCTCTGTAAGACAAACTGACCTCTCCTCCGATGGCCCAAGCCAGAATGATATTGCTGCATGTTCTAAGTTGTGGATTGTGGCTATTGTTACAATCAAAATTAACGCCAATATATTTTCTGTCTATTCCAGAACATTTGTGAAGAAGAATATGATGAACAACTTCCTCATTGCCTTTCTGTATTACTGGCTCATACTGAAATGAAACGAAACTTGGAATTGATAATTTTTTCGCACAAATTATAAAAATGAAAATGATTAGCTTTAAACATGAAAATTAAAACCAAGAGACAATCTCATCTAAGAAAGCATACACAAAAAAGGTAAGTTACTCAAAACTGGTGTAAGAAATATAATAAATAGTTTATTACATTGAATTATGATTTTAATATATATATATATATATATATATATATATATATATATATATATATATATATATATATATATATATATATATATATATATATATATTTGTATTTATATATAAAGTCCTTTGGGATAACCACGACTATCAAGAGATATGAAAGAATTACGTTACCTTTATCAGGTGATGTTTCTTTCCAAGGTCAGAAAGATCAAATACTCTACACATATAAAAAGTGTCAACATCTGGTACAAGAAACTGCAACATTTTAAAGAAAAAAGACCGTTGATTAGTAATGTTGTGTCAAAACATTAGAAAAAAGGCAATTGATTTGTGCCGCCGTGTCAAAACACTACAAACAAAAATTTCGATTTCCACTGTAGTGAACAACTAAGTTAAACACAAATGCTTCGTAAATGTACAGACATATGTTGAATATGATGAAGTCAGAGGAAAAACAAACGTTAGTTTAAGACGGAAGGAGTATAATACTGCGGTGACAAGCAAGACTTTTTATCATGTAGAAAATTGCAAAATATAGTTCATTATACTGACATGGAAAACATTTTTTAAAATAACTATTACCCACTGAATGATGAAACCACGCCCTCCAGCGTGATAGAATAGATAGCAACAGTCAACATTGCTTGGCGACGGGTGATATTCCAAAAACATTTTGACCGCACAGAATTTATGCGCACACGGTTCACTGTTATATGTATTTATATAAAACATTCAAAACAATATTAAAGATATTGCATATAGTTGAAGGTAACATTGAAAATTTTCATCAATTAATACCAATCTCAATCTCGGCTACACCTCGGTTAACAATGGTTTTTCTTGGGATGAAAATTTTTAGTTTACCTTCAACTACATGTAATACATGTATTTATATACTCATATTGTTCACAAGCATATCAACACAAAGCAATATTGATACGTTGATGTCAACTTAATTTGAATGAAAAATTGATAATTGTTTTAAATGTAAGCTTCTGCTGATACCCTATTATTAAGCAGATCTCGTGTTGTGACGTCACTTGGTATGGCGGCTTTTTTGGTTTCGGTCAATAACATGAGACTTTTGGCGCCTCTGTGGGTCCCATGATAAACAAGACCTTCGCCCTCGTGCTGAGGTTCATGGTCACTGTAGGCGTAGATTACCCGAACGGTGTCGTTCTGTAAAATATCAGCAAAAAAAAAAATTAAAACAAGAACAGTATCCCTGCATTACTTTCATAATATTTTTAATTTGCAGTTGGAAAGTTTGATGTATTAATGGAAAGTTTCTAACTCTGGAAGTGTTTTGTTTAATAACGGACCTGTGAGCAGATGATAAATCACAAAGTCGGCCATGTCGCTTTTTACAAGAATTATCATGTTGCTTCCTGGTCAGTTATCATCCTCCATCATACCAAAATAAGAAGGATACATCCTTACAAATTGAAATCATATGTATACCTCACAGTTTCTATATCTACACCTTGTGCAAAGTTGATACAAATTTTAAAATATTGCATAATAATAATAAGAAATTACGTACTATTCATTTCAAAGCGATAGCTTTTAAAATATTATTATCGAACAATCATATAAAATATGTATGATATAAAAGAATGTAATCCTCTTTTTGGACTAATGATATGTTAGGAAAATAATATGCAAAAGTAAATGTGTAGCAATATAAAATATGTAAGAGGAGATGAATAAAAAAAACTAAAATTAAGTTAATTAAATATATTAATGGAGCAAAGTTTGATTTCTTTTCTAAAGGTGGAAAGATCTTCAAGGTCAATTGTTATTTTTTCAAAATTATGAAATAAATACTAGATCAATTTTCATATAGGCTTAGGTATATTCATGACATGTAGCAACAAAATTTTATAAAAATATTTCTTAATTATGTCATATTTTGTCTATTTTAATTTGAAATTTGATATATGTATAATTTACAACAAAATGAAATCCAAAAATATATACCAATTCATGCATCCATTTTTGTGCATGGAAATTGTCCTTAACATTAAAAAAAAACAGTTTATCCATTTTGAAGTAATCTCTCAAAGAAGATCTTAAATCTTATCTACTTAAGGGCCTGAACACAGTTGCATTGTTTACATTTTAAATTTCTACGTTTATTAAAATATAAATACAGTTTAATGAATTGAACTTACATGAATATTCTTAGGGTTCAATGACAACAACATTCTTTACATCACGTCAAACATCTGTTTTTGTAAACGGGGCACGAGTTCTGTTACTGTTAATGTCTACGTTTAATTTGTTTACTCTGCATACATCACTGAGCACAAACTGACAATACTGGTGAGTTTGTTTTACTTTCTTGCATTTCCACTCTTAATTTTTCTAGATTATACTTTTGATATTCTTTTAATATACTTTTATCATTAATACACAAAAATTTTTTTTCTTTACTTAAGTATTAAGGATATAGTTTACTTCGAGAAAATACAAGGATATGTACATGTGTCAATCAAACGCGTCTCAAAATTCGTAGTTTGATAAAGGAAATTTCTAAACACGCTTTATTATGTTTCGGCGTAAAATGCTCTAGCAACATATGAGTCATGATATTATACTAAAATCTTTAGAAAATACTAACTTCAAATCTGTGCCCAATCCCCTTTTAATAATGAATGATTGTTATTTACATATTAAGTATGCTTAAATTTTGAACTTCTATTTATAGGGTAGTTTTATTCAATTAGATTGGTCTGCCCTTAGAAGAAAAGTAAAATAAATGGGAATCTACAGTTAATGCCACAATTTGTAGTGAATTAAAGTATTCTCAACGTTATATTAGACCAACATTAAGTAACTGAATACATAATTTCCATTAATTTTCCCAATGTAAGTAAACAACAGTGATTTCTTTTCGAAAATAATTCATTGTCTTTGTTTTTTTTTTTTTTCTGTAGAAGTAAGATAGGTACATACATACGCGGAATATATGCACTTTTTATGATATATTTTTCTAAAAGTCCAAAAAGCAATTTTCGTTAATGTTTAGAGCTTCTTTTACATGAAATTTTTTATTTGTTAAAATAAAATTCGAGTTAATAGTTATGGTATGAAACTCTTAACATATTGAACAAAAGATATTTACAATATAAAACAATTGTCTCAGATATTTTAATGATATAAAGTACCCCATTATTTCCCCCTCCCCCAACCCCAAAAAAAGGAGAGAGAGAGAGAGAGAGGGCAAAAACTATATACCCCCGAATCTTCAATACGGGGGCATGAGAGGGAGAGAGAGAGAGAGAGATCTGCAATGCCAAGATTAAAAAAAGGTACATCAAAAACGATAACTTCTAAAGTCTTAGTGCGTTCATAAACAAACAGATGTATAATAGAGAGTAATCTGCTTTGTAAGTCACCCCCCCCCCCCTCCCAAAAAAAACAAAACAAATTCAGATATTATGATTGTTGTGAAACATAAAACATCTTTTCTAACAATTTTTAAGTTATAAGTAGATGTATAAACATCGTTTTATTAATTTTTCGTTTTTATTTGTTTTGAGAATTCTTCAAGATTCAAATCGCTTACAGTTAAAAGTAAAAAAGTGCTACTTACGGTTATCTTGACGTCATCATCGTCACACGTGTCCAGTTTACGGACAGTTTTGATTATGGTTCCATGATGGTTTTCTTCTCCATGGAGAAGTATCCAATCTTGTGACGCATCAGTGACTGGTTCAAAATGTCCACTTGAGTGTCTATCCTATATAGCATGGATAACAATTGGTAGTTACTCTCAAGTTTAATTTTTTCTGTTTTTTATTCTGTCATAGCTCAAGAATACATGTATGAATGTGCTCCTGTTTGCGTACTTTTTAAATTTTTTTTCCCCCACAAATTAGTCACATTGTTACAATGCGATATTGTGTATCCAGACAAAAATATACAAAATATATTCTAAAAGTGCTTGTTTATCTTATTCGATTTTGATTTCATTCACTAAAAACATAATTATATAAAATTTACAGCTAATATTTGGTAAGACTTGGATATACTTTGCATGGCTGATAAATTATAACAATTCTCAAATGCTTTTTGTAGTTTTTGGTAGCCGCCGTCTTTTAAAAGAAGAAGATTTTTGCAGAAACGTAGATGTTCTTTTCACACTTTCGATATCTTACGGCGCACGGATGATGACGTAAAAGTGTCTAAAGCAGCGACAGGTTTTCTCTTTGCTAAAAAGGTTGCATAAGCCCCACTTAAATTCGGGAATTTCATTGATGCACATACTTGAATTTCACTTTATTCGTCCATAAACAGCCGAGGAACCAATTTCGCAATCACATGGGACCTTCTAAAGATTTATTAGCTAGTTATGGACAGTACTCTCACTACCATTCAACTAAATGGGCTATGTTATATCGAAGGTCTACAGTGACAGCGTCTTTCGCTATTGCCAGTAGCTGTTTGTCCATATGTTTTGTTCTACCCGGGGACTCGATCAAAATTCTTCCACTTAGAAAACTCCCATTCACTTGTATACTAAAGATCTAGTGATGCTTTTGGGTTTTTTTCTGCAGTAGTCATTTGAAGTCTCTTAGAGCGTCATTACTACATCTCTAAATCAAACTGAACTGCCGCAACGTCATCAAACGTCGACCTTTTTCGTGTGTTGTGATTACCACTTTCCCATTTCAAATGCTCGGGAAACTGCCAAAACGTAATTAAAAGCCTTGAAATTTTCCAAAAGACGATATAATAATTAGTGGATTAAAAATAGGATAGTTTTTACCCCAACCTTATCTATTTAATACTTTTATTTCCAAATAATATTCGTGTATTCTCTAATGATACCCTGGTTTTTGATCGTGCGCCGTAGGACCGTACCCTGTGCACATTCAAGCATAATGAAATCTTTATTTTGTCTATTTTTTTTTTTAAATTAAGATGCACTTGAATATGAAATAAACATTTGCTGAAAAGTTCAGCTTAGTGCGCCCATTACTTTTTCAATGAAAATGCTTTGTCCACGATTTTACCGGACAACCCTCGTATAACAACAGTGGATATTTATACTTGTGCATGGTACTATCACACTATTCTTTGACAGAATAAGGAAAACCATAAATCAACGTGAAGAAAATTACACATGCATTGAAAATCGACAAGTCCTTCTTTAACATGCATTCAACCTTAAGGGAGGGAAACATGAACACTTTTAAATGATATATCTCCAATGCAAAATAAGTTTTTTTCTTACCTTCAAGAATGCATGCCCGTGCTTTACCCATCCAATGACTATGTCTGCTGGGTACATCTTTCCGTTAGGAGAAAGTCCAAAGCCAACATATCCGTGTGTTTTAACATGAGCTTCAAACGTTATATGAGTGGCATTGAAATTCCAAAATAAATGAAAATTTCCATCTGGGTCTAGTACTGTATGTTTTGAAAACTTTTCTGTCGGTGTTGGAGAATATTTTGTCCCCGATGAGTGTGCAGGAAGACAGTAAATTGTGTTCACTACTAGCAAGCATACGGCAAGGAAGGCAGCTGTCTCGGCCATCGTTATGTGGAGTGTCTTTATTCTGCAACTCGTATATATATATTGGTTATTGAGAAATACCTTTGTGTAATTATCATATGACTGATAATCTTATTTTTTACATGCTGTCTGTACACTGACATAGAGCGATTTGAAACATGTTAATGATTCAACTTTCTTTTTTTTTTGTTCGAAGCAATGGGAAAATTCTTATTCGGAAATAAAAGTTGAAACCCATTTTTATGCCAACAAAGTGGGTAGAAGCCTTGTCGACCAAAAAATGTCCCATTTCTTATCAGTCTTCTAATAGGTCATACCAGTATGAAAGAGTGTGCCGATTTTTAACACAATGGCGTGAATTCTAATTTCTCTCCCTGGTTTCGATAGAATCAGAGTGACGTACTGTATTGCGCCTATAGTGAAAATGACATTAATGAAATATTTCTATAACATCATATACAACGTATGCAGTTATTACGTTCTGGAAACCTGGTTTTGCTAAACTTCAGAAAAAGTAAATCAGTTGAATGCTGTCCTATTAAATCTGATAAACAATCGCCTATACGACCAGTGTCAATATTAAGCACAAGAAACTAAACATTTGGTTCTCGATTCTGGAATTTCAAGTTGTAGGAAGTAAAGAAAAACCAGACCAAGGTAGCAGGCGTGAATACAGCATACATACATATTTATGATTTTTATTAAAAAGAAAACTAATTTTCAATAGATCGTAAAGGACACAACTGAGATTGTGTACGAGGGTTGTCCTGTAAAATTGTGGACACAAAGCGTTTTTATTGAAAACGTAATAGGCGCACTAAGCTGAACTTTTCAGCAAATGTTTATCATCATATTGAAGTGCATCTTAATTTTTTTTTTTTTTTTTTTTTGACCGAGTCCCCGGGTAGAACAAACCATACGGACAAACAGCTACTGGCAATACCGAAATACGCTGTCACTGTATAGATCGTCGACATAAGATAGCCCATTTAGTTGAATGGTAGTGAGAGTACTGTACATAACTAACTAATAAATCTTCAAAAGGTCCAATGTGTGTGCGAAATTGGTTTCTCGACTGTTTATGGACGAATAAAGAGAAACTAAAGTGTATGCATCAATGAAATTCCCGAATTTAAGTGGGGCTTATGCAACTTTTTTTAGCAAAGAGGGAACGTCACGGTGCTTTAGACACTTTGATGTTATCATCCGTGCGCCGTAAGGTGATACCACACATAACATGAAATCTCGTATTTTTTGTTATTTGAGCATATATCTGAAATTTGCTATATGTATATTGATGAAAAATGTACTAAAAAGTAGTGAAAATCTCAGGACGCAGATATATTAATTATTTGATTTTACCTATTGATAGTTTTATACACATGTTGACTTTATTTATGGTAGTTTGAACACAATATGTCAAATACCAACATTCTGAGATATTGTTTAGAATGGTGAAAAAAAGAAACATCAAGACAATATGCATCCATTGTTTTGCATAAATATATCAGAAAGCTTTATAATGTAACACGATTTAAGGTAAAACATGAGTAAATTTGCTATTAGCATTAGTCATGCAGTATCTATGTATTCCTGTCACAAATGCCCCGGAAATCTCTTCATTGTTGCAGGAAAATCTTTAAAACCGATAGATGTAAGTTAGGCGACACAATATCTAAGAATTTCATTAACATTTAAACAATGTTATTGTAAAAAAGAAAAATAAATAACTGAATCTAATATAAATATAAAGGACCGTTCATGACTTCCTTTTATAAGTTCCTAAATGTAATTTGTAATTTAATTAATTACATTTGCAAAGTAATTGTAATTTAATCAATTATATTTCAAAAATCCTTGTAATGGTAATGGTAATGTAATTGAAAGTTTTGGGCAAGTAATTATAATTTAATTAATTACTTTTCTATATAATTGACCCCATCCCTGAGAAAAGGTATTTCATGATTGATTGTATATTGTTAAACGTCTAATTCGAGAATTTTTCACTCAATGTAGAGACGTCACCATACATGTATACAGGTGAAGGGCTTCAAATTTAGACCTTTACTCGGCACTCAGGGCCATTCTTTATCGTGCCAACACTTGCCGTGACACACAGGGACTCCGATTTTAAGGTCTCATTAGAAAGATCCTCAACTTACACTTCAAAGTGCCGAGTGCTTGGCGAAGGAACAGTTGCTTTTATCAACTTATAGGTCAGTCGCGGCCAGGGCCTGAACCCACGACCATCCGATCACGGAGCAAGCTTTCTACCAACTGAGTGAAAGTGACGGTGAAAATGTATTTAATACGTTTTGCTTTTACGAAATATATAAAAAAAAAAATTATATATATTTGAGCAGATTTATTAAGAACACAGTATTTTTATAAGATTTTTTTCACTTTGATGATAAGTTTAAGCTTTAAGTTCTGCACTCATCTCCGGGCGCCATGTATCGAACTCTGGGATATTCGTTGTGGGCATTGGTGAAGTTGGATCGGTACTAGAAGCAAAAAAGTTTGAATCTCTCATAAAACAGAAATCGACCATATAAAGAAGACATTTTTATAAATTATCTCTGAAAATTTTTTTTTCGTGCGAATGTATTATTTCTCCGAGACTTACTTGGTGAAAAATTGAGCCACAAAGCATGAAATACGTAGATGATGCAAGACTCTCATGAAACTGATTGACAACAGTTGAGTTTTTCCAGTCCATATGTAAAAACATATCGGTAAGATCCGCCCTATACATTTGCTTTGGGTCGGAGTCTGTTTGAAGGTGATCATACAGGGGCTTACTGATACAGTTCATCGCGTTTATCCGGGGATAGTGGAACAGGAAGGAAACACACATCTCTTCTGTCGTGGAAAATCCTCCCTTAAAGAAGAAAAGAATTTCAAATGTCTCCATCCTGTACAAAAAGAAAGTTTTGACTTTAATTTTCAAAATTATTCATCCAAAGGTTATATCTTTTATCCAAGTTTGAATCATCAAAACAAAGAAAAAATTACAACATGTAGTGAATGAGGTGAACAGTGTGTTAATAAATTCAAATCATAAATCAAGGTTATTTTTAATCTGATAGCAAAGATTTATAAACGAATGTGCAATTCCAAAATCAAATCATCAATACGCTTAATACTCAGGTGATTTCTTGCAATTGTCCATATTTATGGTCAGTGTATTTTGACTTTCACGTCAGATGGTGTTCGTAATTTAATGATAATATGTTCTCAACCTTTCTTTATTTCCAGTAATTCAGAAAAGATTGACGATTAGATAAATGACAAGATCAGTATACAATGACTCCAGCTGACAAAATATGGTACAATGCTCTATTAGTTTTTGAGATTAATTGTATTTTAGAGAAACTTTTATTCTTAAAGTTGTAATATAATCTTTATTCATAGTTCGATCCTTTCAAAGGAAGAGATTCTTGAAAATCATTTGTCAGTTTAAGAAACTTTTGAACGACTTTACTTTACCGGTCCTCAGAAAAAACGCGCTAAAATATAGCGTCGCCGTAGGCGACTTCAATAAATATGAGAAAAAAATTAAAAGTATGAGGTTTTAACCTTTCTGACCCCAAAATCGAATTCTACGGTTAAAAGTTTAGTTTAAAACTTCGTTTTTAAACTAAGTTTTTAACCTTCTTTTCTGAAAAAAAGTAATAAATATTGTTTATTCAGTGAAAAGGAGACAAAAAATAATTGTCAACGAAGCGCGTGCGGCGCATGCCTAGTGCCGTTTCTTTCGTACTTAGCCATTTTTTTTCACGTAAATAAACCAACGAGTTGTTGTTGAAGCTGAATTAAGATCTTGCAAAAAATACAGATGCAACTGAATTTCTTAATTAATGTAAAAACCAAGACACTAACCCTAATCTCTCGGATGATATGCGAGGACTAACCCAAATCTCCCAGGCGGATGCTAGACTAACCCATGTGCGAGGACTAACCCTAATCTCTCGGATGGATGCGAGACTAACCCTAATCAGTCGAAAACTTATGCAAGGACTAACCCTAATCTTTAAGGTGGGTGCAAGACTAACCCTAACCAGTCGAAAACTGTGCAAAACTAACCTTAATCAGTTGAGTGACGTAAATCTTACGTCATATTGCAATTAGCGCGGATCTTGCGGATCTGGGGACCGGTAAAGTAAAGTCTACCCGAAACTTTCGGTATTTCCAAAAATAAACTGAATTTGAATACATTCCTATATTGGATATTAAAACTTCAACAACAACAAATCCCTATAAAGTTACATAACAGGATTTAGTAGATGTTCTACCAAGCCATTTTTTAAATTAACCCCCCCCCCCCCCCAAAAAAAAATATTAACAGCAGTGAAGAAGAAAATTCAGATGCTTTATACAACAATATATGAAAGAGGTTGTGTAATACAAAATTTGGATACTAAAACATTTGCAAAGAACTTTGAGAAAATTTGAAATACAAAAAATTAAAATATGCTTGTGTTCGCGACTGACAATATTTATCTAGACCAGGTTCAAGTCTTCCAACAGTCTGCTGGAATTTCCATGGGTATTTATTGGACCCATTATAAGCTAAACTGATTTTGCATTCTTTGAAAGAAAATCTATTTTAAAAAAGACATGAATAGAAGTCTCTCACCATTACTTTTAATCATGCTTTTACTAGCACATCGCCTACTATTTATCAATTAGCAATATTTATTTTTATTCACACGTTTTCTCGCTTTATCTTGCTCAACTATACAAACATAATTAAGGCTGGCACATCTGTTATAATTGGGTTTTTACTGGAGAAAAACATTTAAGACAAAAGAACAATGAAAGAGGCTATGATAACGAACAGTAATTTTCTCAGAGAGTCTTCAAACAATACATATTTTGAAGTGGACAAAAAAACACTACAGCTGGAAACATCAGAAGTGGGATCAGGTGCCAAGGAGGAGATAGCACCCCTCTGTTGACAGTTCACATCCGCTGTGAGCCCTCTGCATTGATCAAGTAAACTGGGTAATCGGTAGTCAAAATTAGTATACACAACTTTTTATGAAACATATAAATACAACAGCCTAACAATTTGTCTGAAACATTCAATCAAAAACGACCAAAAGATAAATTGCATTTGCAAACAAGTTCATAATAACAACAATAGAATTGGCAAAAAGCTGACTTTAAATGAGATGGTTGAAAGCCCTGTAGCATTAACATATTTATCAGTAGAGTGCTTACTTTACGACTTCAGTTTTTCTATTGAAACTCCCTTGTCTAGTAATTAGAAGTAGTGTAAAGTAGATGTGGATACTTAAACCCTCCAAGGAACTTTGAAATGACAAAATTTTACCAAAACCAACGACTTGCGACTTTTCTACACTTTATACAACCATTCACCTCTATAACTTAAAGATTTATCGTTTACTCAATCATTACAAGAAGTACATGGCGTCGGTGACTGTTCAACAGGGGATGCTTACTCTTCCAAGGCACCTGATCCCACTTATAATGTTTTTAAAGGTCCGTGTTTCTCTGCCCCCAATTTGTATTGTTCCATTGGACGTTTGAGCTTGATTTTTGTTCGTTATCTTCATATTTCATTTCAGTTTCACCCATGCATGGTTTTTATGTCTCCCAGTGGATCCAGTATGCAGGAGCATGTTCTACGTACGATCAATTTCTAAATCGAAGAAGACTGTCGAAAAATAGGTTGACGTTACAATAGTATCCACATCTCGTTTCGCAACATTTCGCAAACTCTATGGTTTGAAAATGAATTCTGTCGTTATGTCGAATGTGGACTAAATGATTCTAATACAAATTGACTTATTTGTCTACGGATTACTCCAATAACCTGATCAAGATAAAAAGTTCAAGGCGGGTGTGAGCGGTCGACAGGGGATGCTTTATCCACAGTGGTACCTGATCCCAACTTTAATGTTTGATGTATCAAGAGGACGCTCTTCATATTGATTTTCCACTTTTTTTATTTGTCCAACCATGGGCACTTAACAAGACTTATTTACCTGTTATCTCAGGAAGATACAATGAACATACTTATTTGGAGTTCCAACTTAAAAATGCAAGCAACAATTTTCAGAAACATACTACTGATCTTAAATTTTTAAAATATCTTCAAATTAAATTATTAGTTTTTAAATTGGTCAATTGCAAATGCAATCAAATAACCCACTATCAACTTGAATATTGGTCTTAACCACACTTCTCTGCCACCGCAATGATGCGCTCGGTTTCCCTTCTATACACCAACTAGAAGCCTGTTTATCCTTCCTTTTTTAAGGATTAGGAGACCAAGTCATGTCGTCTGTCATTTATATCTTCATGGTGGCAAAGAATATGTTAATTAGCACAGTTACAGTGAATATATTCAATGAACTTCAAAATAATTTTTCTTAGACTTAATTGGTATTTCAAAATAAAGCAGCAATGACATGCTACAACATTAAGGATCGTTGATGAATAACCTAGTTTTAAATCAGATGTACTAACAAAGGTAACGTTCTTTCTTTCCATTGAATTCAATGTACATTCAACAATTGCACTGTCACCCTGAAAAAAAGGAAGCAATTTTTATTGAAATAAATAAGGTATAACAATATGTTTTGAGAGCATGTAAAGCAAATTTTTAACAAATTGTGAACAGTTGTCTATTCGCGTCCATATTCTTTCCCGAAATGTTTGATTCGACATGCAAATCTTAACGTATGCAACCAATTCTATGCAAATAACAAAATGCTGATTCCTATAATCTTACATCTTTTAGCGTTCTGTTGACTCGTCGGAAGTCCTGATAATTGAAGTCGTAATGTGCGTCGTCTGCCAACGGTTCCTGCTCTACTCCTTTTCTAATCAGTCGGGTTCGAATACCCCTTGCCAGGAGGTGGGCGTGCTGTTGTACAGCGAAGACCTGAACGCCATTTGGTTCTCTGCGTAAACCCTGGTAAAAGATAAGAACAAATGTAAACATAACCATACTGCTGACCTTTGCAAGAAGACTTCAAGTGTATTCCATTTTTAATTGAAGTGTTTGCCTCGAATATTTGTATTTGTTCAAAATCATGGATCTTCTACGTTTTTAAGTAAAATTAGAAAATTCTACCTCGTGCATACATGCTTGAGGACAGAACCCTGTTGTGACAAATTTGGGTTGATGGGGTGGAATGACTTGACTCTTGTCAACAAATGCAGAAATTTCCAAGATGCCAGCATCATAACGGCGAAGTGTTGGGGTCACGGTCAGACGAACGCCAGAGTTATCAACAAAGTCTAGATATAATCATATGAAGCTTTGAAAAAAAATCACATGTGTGGGTGATTCATGTAAAGTGGTAAAAAAGATAAAAACAAGAAGTCTTTAATGAAATTGTGTCTCTACTAGTTTGAAATCTGAAAAGGTTGTATTTAAGGTCAAGATCTAGTAAATGACTTTAGACTACCTTTTGGTGCTAGATCCATTATGACGTCATAATCAATTTTAACTTTCTTTTTCCCGTACTTAACGGCTCTAATAGAATTATACCGTAAATCTGGAAATTTTTACGTCGATTTATTTTTGCGAATCTGGGTCAAAAGTCTGTTTATTAATTTTTACGTTTAAAATTTTTGCAAATCGTCATTTGAACTAAAATATATACAAAGCTCTTAAAATTCTCTAAAACGTTTTTAAGTTACGCATGTGAATACAATAAATTACGAATAAACATACAATATTAAACTACGCCAACGTTCAATAATCAGATAAAAATATTAGAAAAGATAAATCATCCAAAGTATTAAAAGTTTTCAGAGCATTTTCATAAATCACACATGTATATAAAATATATATAACGTTGTAATCTTTAATTAATCTTTAGATAAAATCATTATTTGTTGTTGATTTATTTTTATAAACATATTTTTGCGAATGCAATGCATGCGCAAATTTGCTAAAAATTTATCTACAACAAAAATTTCCAGCTTTACGGTATAGAAAATATAGTATTTACACGGAATTCAGTCTGAAATCGTGTGAAAAGTAATCCCGATACCTATATTCAATTTAATATTATTTTACAGAAAAGGCCAAGAACATACAAATTATCGTTTTCTAAGAGTGTGTAGGCAATCTGGATACATTTCCTTTGTCTGATATGGAAAAAACTCCCGTATTCATGTCTGGTTTTCTTAATTTTTCATTGAAAATGACAGTTTAAAATGTGATGTTTTCCTACAAATTATGCCCCGAAACACTTTATTTGACCAAGCTAAAGTTATAAAGCATCATTAAAGGAATTTATTTCTCAAATTTGAGAAATCTGTAGGCACTTTTCATTTACTAGATCTTGACCTTAAGGAATAACTGTCTGGTTTTTTGGTTTTATGATGTGATCAATCAGTTTGCTCGCGTGATAATTCGCTTCAACGCCGAAGACGTTTATGTGTAAAATAATCACGGAAGCAAACTTATTGATCATTGTCATGAAACCAAAAAACAAGACAGTTTTACATTTTACTGGATCCTTGATTCAATAAAAATATTGTTATTCAATAAAATTAAATTTCAGCATCCCCGCCCAGTGTATTATTAAGCAACACACAGCAAGAAAGCATGCAGTTCTGTGACGTGCTGATAAATCAGTTTATGTGGCAATAAAGCTATTACCTTGTTTGTAGTTTTATCTTCGACAAAGACATTTGACTATGTAAATATAAGACAATCAGAAAGACATTAATCAAAAGAGCTTCAAAAATTAAAAAAAAAATAATTTAACGCTTTACACAGTATAATAAAACAGCTTTTAATCCTATTTTCTCGGTAGAGCGCTCGCTCCGTGATCGGGGGGTTTGGGTTCAGGCCCAGGCCGCAACTGACCTAAGTCGATAAAAAAAATAAGTAGCAACTGTTCCTTCGCCAAGCGCTCGGCACTTTGAAGTGAAAGTTGCGGATCCTTCGGGTGAGACCTTAAAAACAGAGGCCCCGTGTCACAGCAGGCGTTGGCACGATAAAGATCCCTCGCTGTTCAATGGCCCTGAGTGGCGAGTAAAGGTCTAAATTTGAAGCCCTTCACCGGTATATGGTGACGTCTCTATGAATGAACATTTCTCGAACGGGACGTAAAACAACATAGGATCAATCAATCAATCAATCCTATTTCTCAAATACCCTGGGTATTCAAATCTCATTTTATCACAAACAGTTTTTCATGCATATGTCTCACTTATATATCAACTGAGGAAAGAAGTTTATAAAGAAATCAAGCTACCTGAAATTTCTTACTTGTGGATCATTATAGTCATTACAATTATTTAAGTATAAGTTCCTGGGTTACCAATGTGTGTGCGTATCTATCTACTCTATTCTGTGTGTCTTAAGAGTTTTGTACCTACCACTCCTGAGTTGTGGATTGTTATAGTGAGTCTCCATTATAAACAGGTCATTATCCCCCGGCTCGGCAATTGGTAGACCGGCCTGCTCCGGGTAATAAAAGGCCTAGAAACAGGATAACACTTACCAAATGGCTGTCCAATTCTGAGTAAAATCAAACTTAAAGAATGTACATATACAGTAGATAGATGTAGGATACTTTAAGGACAGAAATAAACTGGTCGGTTAAGTAAATTTAACCATTCAACACTAACATCTATTAAATTCAAAGCATGGTTTTGATAGTACCATCATACTAAATGTATGCTAAAATTAAGGAAGTATAATTATGCAAAATATGATTATATACGAAATATATATATACTTCAGCTCCTACAGCCCAGACCACTATTATGTGTCCACATGGTCGTTTCATGAGGTCGGGGTTGTCGTAGCAGACATAGTTTGGAGAATCTATGAGGTTTCTATCTATCCCTGGACATTTATGAACCAGTACGTGATGTACCAAGGTTTCGTGGCCCTTGTCCACCAGAACCTCAAACTGTAGTCAAAATAATCAACAAAAATATTAAAATCATCAAAACCGTAAGTGAAATCAAAAATTGCTGAGATATGTATTCAGATACAGATTTTAACCTGACCTTGATCATGTGGTGTTTACGCCCAAGTGTGGACAGGTCAAAAATCCTGCAACTGTAGGTAGTATCATTAGAGGGAACTGAAAACTGAGAAAAATAGAATTTAAAGATATTTTAAGGTATTTCGTCTAAAACAATTCATATATTTATTTTTTTTATATATAAGAAATTATGTTATGCGGGAATATGAAACATGACTAGAAATAACGCCAATCAGAAATTCCTGACTTATTGCACAATAAACAAATAATTCTGCTCCATACATCTATATATGAAACATCACATACTGTATGATGTGGATAAAATATCCAAGTTTCTGTAAAGATGTCGATTCCTTAGAATCTATATCTATAGTATGATTAAATATTTCTCTTTAAGACATCAATTAATCCAGCATCACTAGGTATAGTGAAATAAGATATTGGAGTGAGTCCTGTAATGTGTTTGACAGATTTTCTATATTCATGTAACTAAGTTCTGCGAACTCACAAAAACATCAAGTATACAATGTTCGTGAACTACAAATTAGTAGACAGTACAGTGTCTGCTCTTGATACAAAATTTTCATACTATTAATATTACTTCTCAAGACATTGAGAGTTACTATATAGAATTTCATTGAAAAAGCTCAACGTAAATTTGAGTCATCATCTTGGAAACCATTTTTGTAATATTTGAATTTCTGATTTTGACTTTTAACCTCAAAATCATTTTGGTTCTTTTATAGGCAAGAGGAATTTGTGAACTAAAATTTCTTTGAGATAACGCACATAGACGAAGTGCTGCACGTAGACAGTATGCATGATTTTTTTTTTTTACCTTGACCTTTAACCTTCTCACCTCAAAATAAAAAGTGGTCATTTTTAGTCGATATGGAGTTGATACATAAGAGTAATTCGAAAATAAAAGCTTTAAAAGCTGACGTCATCATTTGGAAGCAGTTATTTGCAATGAATGAATTTCTGGCCTTAACAGTAGAACTGTTCTCAAAATTAATAGGGGTCTTAAAGCCTTAGGTAGTTGTGACGTAAAATTTCATTGCAAAGCTCAAAGGCTTTTTAGATGTTTCTGGAAACGAAAGTGTTACACACCGAGAGAATGTGTGAATTCCTGACCTTGATCAACAGGGGGCTTTCTTGGCTCATAGGGAGTTTGATATGAAATTTCATTGCAAAAGCTCATTGCAAAAGGGTTTTTGAGATATCGTCCGGAAACGAAAGTGTTACACGCAGACAGAATGTATGGTGTTCTGATCTTTACCTTTGACCTTAAAATCAGTAGGGGTCTTTCTTGGACTATAGGGAGTCGTGATATAAAATTTAATTGCAAAAGCTCAAAGACTTTTTGAGATATCACCCGGAAACGAAAGTGTTACACACAGAAAGAATGACAGACGGACGAACCGCTGGACGGACAGACCTAAATTAATATCCCCACTTTCAGTGAAGGCGAGTGACAATTAGTGATTTTTTTTTTTTTACACACCCAATAAAGACAAACATGTAGTATCCATTTTTCGAACAATCACAATCAATGTCAAATGTTCTAATTGTACATATGCAGAAGAAAATTAAATATACATTTAGTCCTCATCTTTCTGTCAAAAGTATCAGAAACAGTGAGAATCTATTTGCATCCTGTCATAATGCAAGACTAATTTCTTTAAAAGACATCAATACCTTTATTAATTTTGCAAGACAGTGCCTGGTACTCACGTTTCTGTTTAAAATATAAATATCTTTAGAGTCATTGGGTATGGTAGGAGGGGATATTTTAGATAACAATAACAGGCTCCTGGTCCCCCTGGTCATGCCGTGATATGGTATATTGTACTCATCCGCTGGGTCTTCGGCATGGAAGGAATAAATTATCTTTACGGTATTGTCCTGCAAAAAAAGGAGATAAAATGTCAAATATTGAAGCAAATAAAGGCGAAAAAGTCTGATGACCTCTGGATTGTTTAATAATTACAGCAGAATATTAACCAATTGAAGCAATACTGTACAAGCACAGGAGGAGGCTATTTACTCCATGGATTAGTTTTCCTTGCATACTTACCGAGATCTTGAAGTCGTCGTTATCACAAGTATCCAACTTTCTGGTCATTTTAAGGACAGTGTGACAGTTGTCCTCCTTAGCGTAGAGAAGATGCCAGTCCTGAGACACGTCCACCACAGGAGGAGAGTGTCCAACAGTGTGGCGATCCTAAAGAAAAATTCTCTAGTCTGTGATCTCCTCTCTCTCTACATTATATATTGTATATATAATGTATATTATACTATTGACAGTCCTATCGTTTTGAATTCAAAGCTTTTGTAGCAGAAGCTTGTATCTACCTTAAAGTAGGGGACACCATCCTTCACCCAGCCAATAATGACGTCAGCAGGGTACATGTTCCCGTTATGCGACAGTCCGAATCCGACGTAACCCTTAGTTTCTACGTGTGTCTCAAATGTAATGTGAGTTTTATTCACGTTCCAGAACAAGAGGTACTTTCCATCTGAATCGATGACGCTCTGGTATTCGTATTTTTCTGTTGGTTTGCCGAGTGGACAGTATTGTTGAGCATTGATTTCAGTTGACGGAGACTTTGTGATGTAAGGTAGTGGGGTCTGGGAGATTGAGGGCCGATGATGCGAGTTCATCGTCATATCTGACTCTGTTAATAACACCAAACTTTTATATCCCCTCTGACTATGGTGTCTTAACTTCCCGTCCTCGGTTTGGGGCTCATAGTCGCTATAAGCATATATTACGTTTATTGTTCCATTCTGTAAGTAAGAGTACAATTTTACTCAATCCTACTCAAAATTTTAAGTACTCAGAATGAAGTAAAACAAGCTATCTGTTGGCATCAATCCTAGAAAGACACAAAAAATGAGATACATATGTGCCTAAATTAAATATTGGCTTGAGTCCCCTAAATAGTGAACTATTTTCTCTAATTTCTATCAAAGGCAAGAAACAGTTATTTTGTTCACAAAAAGGGAAAATGCAAAATATTATACTTCGGATATTTTTCACGAGTCGGTCGAATAAAGAAAACATAGTTGAATACTTTGATATTTGTCATACCGTAATCATGACGTCATCAGAGTCCTTAGTATCCAGTTTCCGGATTGTTTTAATAATTGTTCCAATTCCATTTTCCTCTCCGTGGAGAACGAACCAATCCTGTGACGCGTCCACTAGAGGTTCGGTATGCCCTGTAGAGTGTCTATCCTTCAAAAGAGAATATTTTGTGGAGGTTAATTTTTGATTTCGTTGGATGAAGAAACGATTCCATGTCCCCCACGAAACACTACAGTTTCAAAATCCAGTATCCCTTTGCAAATAAAATGAAATATCCATGAAACAATGTTTTTCCCTAAACCATGGAAATTCGATCCAAAATATATGTGATTTTACAGTATTTTTCTCTTAAAAATGCTTCTATGTTACTTCGATCGTCATGTATGGATATTTGGAATTACTGAATATGCAAACAGAAGTCTCTGTCGAGACTGTAGCTCTACTGATTTTTACTTAACAATGGTAAAGAAAGATAGCACTTGGACTTGAAACAATGGTAACATCAAAAAAATAGAATAATGATCCTTGCTTTAGCCTCTTTCTGAGTCAAGTTTAATTGCAATTGGACAAAAACTATAGGGGTAACGTTTTGAAAGAATTTTGCAGAATTTCTATTTTTAGTAAACATGACAACCCCTTTCATCAAAATTAAAAACCGATGCAAAGAGTTATGTATTAATTACATATATTAAAGTGTAATCTACCTGTGTTCTATGTTATATTAAAATCAGACTGAAACTTTAGTTAGAGTAGCCCTTTGAAAGAATTTCAGAGGAATATCTATTTTAGTAACCATGACAACACTGTTCATCGAAATAAAAAGTCGGTAGACAGAATAATGTATCTTAGTGTAGTCTACGAGTGTACCCACTTTATACTGAAATCGGACTAAAACTAGGAAGAAAGAATCCAACAGAAATGTCTATTTTAATAAACATGGCAAAATCAAAAACCGATACAAAGAATTATATTTACTTAGTGTAGCCTACTTTATACCAAGATTTATTGAAATTGGATCAAAACTGTAGGAGGAGTAGTATTTTGGGGAAAAAAAGTTTTTACAAACGAACAGACAACTAGACAGACAGTTAGACGGACGGACGACAGACACCTTACTATCTTATAAGCTCTCCTAGTCTCAAGACCAGTAGTACAAAAAAAAGAAATAGTTTTCTAGGTTATCTCCCTTTTTACAGTATATTACTTTTTTGTCACGCACGCGAAAATTAAAGATTCAACCAAAATAAAATTAATTTTGCGTGAAATAATATGAAGCAAATCGGTGTTTATCATTGTTTATGTAGTAAAAAATGATCACACTAAAAATATCTTAAGAATGAGCAAAAATCAGTGTATACTCTTCTCCTCAACATGAAAAAAAATTATCTTATATTTTCCATTCTATCATTTTATTGATAAAGTTTTCCAGTTGCACCTTATATATAATTAACATTTAAATTACAATGCTTATATGGAATGAAATAAAATGTAAATTGATAAAAGTCCTAAATTAATTTGACCTACATCATAATTAGATAATGTCACATCTAAAAAAAATATATATACTTAAAAAGATTCAAATGAAAAACTTTATTCAAATATCTGTTTGACATTTCTTATTGGAATATATAGCACATTTTAATGAATTACATGTAACTTGTTTTCTGTCTACTTATGTTTTATTACATTTTTTAACAGTGAAAAAATGTTATTTCATTATTGAATAAAAGTTATATTTCTTTTTCACAGCCAGTGTGAGAATATCAGGTATATTTCTTCACAGTGTGAACAAATATCAAAACTACAGCAAAACCTAGATTTTCCTTCCTTTCAGGAAGGCTGTTGTGAAAAATACTCCCTGGCTATTATAAGATAACGAGAGTAATAAACTATTCTGACAGGGACTAAAACTGCCAAAGTTTGTCGAAATTGTTGTTTTAAAATCTATGCTTACGATTTTTAACCTCACAATCGCTTAGCTATGACGTCTCAACAGCTCAACTATGACGACACAGCCCACGACACTGTCTTTTTGGTGCTAGATCCATTATGACGTCATAAACAATTTAAACTTTCCTTTTCCCGTACTTTACAGCTCAAATAGAATTATGAAGAAAATAAAGTATTTTCATGGCATTCAATTTGAAATCATGTGAAAAGTAATCCCGATACCTATATTCAATTTTACATTATTTTAAAGAAGAGGCTAAGAACATACAAATTACCGTTTTCTGAGAGACTGTAGGCAATCTGGATACATTTCCTTTGTCTGATATGGAAAAAACTCCCATATTCATGACTGGCTTTCTTAATTTTTCATTGAAAATGACGGTTTACAAAATGATTTTTCGTCTTGTTTTCCTACAAATTATGCCCCGATACACCTTATTTGACCGAGCTATAGTTATAGAGCATCATAAAAGGAATTTATTTCTCAAGTTTGAGAAATCTGTAGGCTCTTTTCATTTACTAGATCTTGACCTTAAGACCGTCGGATTGGATGTTAAATGGTGCCACGTGTCAAGGCCTGCAGAGGCAAGGGAAAATCAAAGTAAATGTAATAAACAGAAAATTCAATGTTTAGAAGTTGAGTATGGAATTTTTTTCACTCGAGAGACAGGATTTTTTTTTATATTTTCACTCATAATTTGCACTCGTCAAAATTAAATAAAAAACCTAACCCACAAGTGAAATAAATTCCAGAGTTTCACGATTTTCTCGAAAATAAAGCTAAACACACTTTTCAAAAGACGAAGGAATAAGAAAATTATATTTGATCATGCAAGTTCATACATTTCTTAGAATTAAAGATGGAAACGGAATTCCTACCTGGAAAAATATCCGACCCTGTTTAACCCATCCGACAACAACATCTGCCGGGAACATGTTCCCTGTCGGAGAAAGTCCGAACCCGATGTAGCCACGTGTTTTTACATGGGCTTCAAAGGTAACATGAGTTGAATTGTATTTCCAAAATAAGTGAAAATTTCCATTCGCATCTAAGACATCGTGGTGAGTGAATTTTTCTGAAGGGGATATCGGTACAGCGAGTATAGAACTCACTAAAATTTCTAGGTACCAAAAAGTGGCAATGATTTGCGCTATTTTCATCCTTTAATTTCAGTCTTAGAAGAATATCTTTTAACAAAACGCTTTAATTTATAAAGATTTCTAGTCCAATGCCCTACTTTAATGGTAATTTTCAATGATAACCGATTTGATTATACACCTGATGGTATTCTAAAACACAGGCTGTATTGGAGAGAAAAGAATCGATGGTGCTTTTTATCTAAAGTACTATGTACACGTACTTGACTTTTTTTACATGAAGTGTAAAAGTCACTGTGTTTTTCTTTTTTTTTTACATAATGTGTGTAAAAGTCAATGCTTTTTTTTCTTTTTAAGCACTACAAATCTGTAAACAGGGCACAAAACACGGACCCCAGCAAATTCCAGAGGTAGGTTCAGGAGCCTAGGAAGAGTAATCATGCCCTGTTGACCGGTCACACCCGCCTTGAGCCCTATATATTGATCAAGTAGACGGAATATTCCTAGTCAAATTTATTTTAAAAAGTAAGCCCTAACAATTGGGATGAAACACGTCAGCCAAAATATGACCCACCCAGTGATAGGTTACATTTGTAAAAATTATCATTATAATGACCATAGAATTTATGATGATGTTAATTGTTATAAGAGGTTATTGAAATCCCTGCAATATCAACTTATCTCTCAGTAGCCTTTCTACGACTTAGTAGACTCGGTTTAAAAATTGAACGTACTTAGAGCATGGTCTGAGTATCTAATAAGTTGGGAGAAGCAAACACCATATGCAGGTGATAACGGAATGTTACTACATAAATAAGAAAAGTTGACAATGGAAAAGGTGAAGTAATCTCGTTTGTTATACAATTACGTTTTTTGTTGGCCCTTATAGTCAGTAAAACATCCAAATATGAAACAGATGTGGCAGACTCTGTGGTGTTATTTATTTAAATTTCACTGGCATATATCGAGTTGACATATGAATGGAAGTGACTATTGTTAATGGATAAAATGTCGATTTATCTGAATGTCGAGTTGAAGGCAAAGCAGATGTTTTCTTCTTCTCAGGTAGACGTTTCTGCCTCATAGGAATATAAAAACAAGTCGGCTAGTAAAGGGGCACAACTAGTGCCTATCAAAATTCCAACAGTTTGTTGGAAGACCTGGTCTCCGAAGACAACATAAATGTTGTCAAAGAGGAAATTCAGCATACTTTTAATTAGATTACGGACATTTTGGGCTTTTAGAAATTAAATAAACATAAACATATCTGAAAAGTTACTTTTAACAATACTATCAAACTGTACTTGCCTATACCCTATCATATTATTATGTATATTTCGTTTGTGTTTACCGTATCGTTTTATACGTTTATTAAAATGTGTATTATATCGGTTTAGGTGTTTATGGTGTTCTGCTTTTTTTAGGGAGTGGAAGATTTCCGTTTATTGATTGCATATATGAAAGGTATCTTATTTACCTCTTTGTTACCATAAAACTTGAGTTATACCTGACTTTTACAGTCATGTAAATACAGTAAAACCTCTTTATCTCGAACTCGATGTGACCGAGAAAACATTGTGAGATAACCAAGGCTTCAAGATTTTGAGGATAAAATTAATACATCAGGGAAAAGTGGTTGGGACTTCCAAATGACTTCGACATAGTATTCATTGTATTCGAGGTATTGATGTACGAGATACCTACGTTCAACTTTTATTGAACTGTATTGAATTTATTTGGTAGAGATTTTTACAGCATAATACCGCAACCATCAAAAAGATTATTTTTAAGTTTTAGTCACAAATCCATTTCTTTTAATTATTAGTTGAAGGAAATAGTTTCAAAATTACAAAATGTGACTATTTGGTGCTCTATTTAAAAGCTCTTTAGGCCTAGTCAAAGAATTTTACTAGCAGTGACTAGTGCATTTTTAAAACTTTGAAATTGAAATTGAATCCCGCAATTTACCACATTCTCGATTCAAATCAACAGATTTGTCACTTGATTCTGGAAAGTCTGGACTTTAACACGTACGTAAGAGAAATCCGAAAGAAAAGAAACATTGTTTGAGAAAAATGTAAAATCAGTTCTTTATGGGTCAGAAACTTGGAAACATTCAGTACAGAGAACAACCCCCATGTGCTCCCTAACAAGTGTCTCTGTCAAATTTTCAGAGTAAGATGGCATGAAAGGATATCAAATCAGAACTATGGAGAAGAAGCACCAAGCTCCCAAAACAGACAGACCTAACAGGTAAAAATGGCTATGGATTTGACATATCCTCCATTCAGCTCGATGTTTACTATACGCAATCTCTGCGTCATAAAGGATTACCACGGATATAATTACTTGGCCCACCTTAGGTTTTTTTTTTCATTCGGTCTGAAAGTATCAAGGTGATAAATATTATGCCTCCCAAACCAAAAATAACAGTTTTATTGGGACAATCACCGCCATCACCACTAGGACCCAATGTCAAGGACGACAAATTGGTACAAATACTGCAGATCACCATACTTCCGCGACACCTTATTTTCGCGAGATAGCTATTTAGTATTTATTAGCGAGACAAAATTTTCGCGATTGGGATTTCTGTTGCTTATAAACCTAAACAAAACAAATATACTCGAGAATAAAATTTTTGCGAGTAGATTATCTCCCGTAATTACGTGAGAATAAAGTTCTAGCGAATAAAAAGTGATTTATAGTATGCACATGTATAAACCATTAACCTTGTAAACTACCCGGCAACTTAATATCAACTTTAATTTATAACCTTCATGCACTTAACATGATCATACCATAAGCCTTAGGAGGATGAAGTGATTACTTGATTTACATAGCAACGATCAAGTGTCACTGAAGTACTCTAGTCCCTGCTGCTGCAGAGCGACGACGAAATCCACACGAAGTATCGGTTACATATACCTACTATATCGTGTCAATACCGCCGTTACTATCTTTAAAAAGTCCTTGCTACGTGATGGATAGAAGGTAGAATATATATATTTATATATGCTTATTTTGAACATGTAAAATTTAGGAGTGCACGTAGTTTCCAAGACCATACCGTTGGTCCTTAGAGGTTGCATCTGTGTTCATTTTACGTCATTGTAAACTGCGTCCATGAAATACGTATAGGTGGCTATATGCTAATTAGTCAGAGTGAAGTGGGAATTTTAACATGATGAGGTTGGGACTTTCAGATATGACAACATGTTGGGTTTGAAATGATTGATTGATTGCATGTTGTTTTACGTCCCGGTCGAGAATTTTTCACTCATATATACACGTCACCATATACCGGTGAAGGGCTTCAAATTTAGACCTTTGCTCGGCACTTAGGGCCATTGAGCAGTGAGAATTCTTTATCGTTCCTACGACTACCGAGACACGGGGCCTTGGTTTTTAAGGTTTCATCCGAAGGACCCGCAACTTTCACCTCAAAGTTCGTGGCGAAGGAACAGTTGCTAACTATTTTTTATCGACCTAGGTCAGTTGCGGCCGTGATTCGAACACACGACCTTCCGATCAGAAAGATTTCAGCCCCAAGTTTTCTTCCATAGGGAGACAGCAGGCCTCTAAGAAAGCTGATACTGGGTATGATATCAAGTATTAAAAGTTTGTATAATTTTTTTGTATCAGATAAACTTTTTGGGGTGCCCAGATATTTAGTGGCCAAACATTTACTTGAAGGGAGCGGATTAAATAGAAACCACAGCTGCTGAGCTGTTTCCCATTCGGAGTGTGTCGTCGCTACAGACCAATAAACTCGCTTGTTTTGATTTTTTTGCATGTCGGATGGCAAAAAATTCAAAACTAGCGAGTTTATTGGTCTGTAGAGACGACTGTAAAGGGTTGGGAGGTGGATAAAATATCAGGTTGGTTAAAGAGTATGTCTAAAATTAGGGAGTGAAATACATAGTTGATTGACCGACGCTGGAAAATGGAGAAATTCTCCACAACCGAGAATTTCCATAAATTGCACCATATTTGCATTACGGGATCTGTACCACTATGGTCGAAGATTAATATATAAAACCATAATGCTACAGATCCGCAGCTAGGCATTTCTATATGATAGAAAAGACAATGTCGATAGTGTTCGGAATATTTCAAGTCCACAGTGTAGCAATGTGAATGTGGCTGGACTTTTTAACAATACACAGAGACGAAAGCGTAGTGATCTTACAATAAACCTATTATACACGATTTCTCCTTTGCTTCACTACTACCTCATGTAAATAAATAGTTAGGTCTTCATCACATTCGCACCAAACTTTACTCTGTGTTTTAATTACAAAACAACTCTACAGAGCCTTGAAGTCGAACATTTTAAACATAATCCTCCAACGTGTTCATATTCTTCTTCACCCTACGACTATAGTCCTGCTGGACACGTCGTTACTGGTTACTTTAAAAGAATTAATAATGAGGACTTTTAAATTACTTATTTTAAAAGGGCCAAATTTTAGGGAACGCCTTTCAACTGGCGTAATAATTTCTTAAATATTATGAATTCTGGGGAAGATTACGCCAGGCGATGGGCCATACATGAAAAAGAAGACCTTGACACTTTGTCAGAATGGATTAAAAGTATCAAATGGGTGGTAAAATCTCGCATTAAGCGATTAAGGGGCAATATAAAAACCATCTATCCTTCTTCCTTCAATAATTAAGCCCGCGTGGCTCAGTGGTTAGAGCGTCTGCTCCAGAGTCGCGGAGTAAGGAGATGATCCTTACGTCGCGGGTTCGAATCCAACTACGGGACGTGGAGACCGGTCCTTCGGATGAGACCGTATAAACCGAGGTCCTGTGTCGCAGTAGGTCTCGGCAAG